TTGAAGGGTGGGATATGGCAGTGAATTTACAGGGTACAAAGGAATAACACCCGAGTCTTTAGGAATGGCGACACATGGGGTATCATGGGTGAAACAGTATACTCTATTATGGCCATGGTACTGCTCATGTCTATAGACGATGGTTACCACTTTCCATCAGGTAGGCTGTTAGCTTGTTTGCCATTCTAATTTGTATAAAAAAAATGTCATATCAAAAATTAAAATCTTTATTTTGTTAACTAATAAAAAGTAAATAAGAAGTATTCATATCATTTTATGATTCGATTATTTCTATACATATTTTTTTTTCATAAATATTATGAGGCATAAAATTGAACAATATTAAGAATATATAATAGAATAATAAGAAGAATAATAGTAGTAGCTCACTTTAGGAGTAGCTGGTACTATTCTCACGTTTTCTTAAAAAAATTATAAAACCATTGTGTTACTTCGAACAATCACTTTATGTATTGGTTGAAATGACCAAAGAACGTACGGAAACACTCTGTAGACGGTACAGAATGGCCACCTGTGCACACTGCTAGGTTCCCACAACGCCTCCGCGTCAATATTGACACAGATTATACGATTCCGTGGATGCCGCGATATCTCACGTACAGGCAGGGCTCAGGAAGTAGTATTTACCTGTAATGTTTACTAATTGATACTATTATCTCGTAATTAGGAAACGAAATACTGATCATAATAGTCTTAGGTTATTTAATGACACAGAAATGTCTAGTTTCCAATTGATTTTCGATACATTCAAATCAGATAAATATGAACATCTGAATAGAAATTTTTGTCACATGACTCAGTGGTCCCTCCATAGAAATATTATATTGTTATTTAATTAAACAGAATAACGATCTAATTTGTTATAGATCACCAAACAGTAGGCTTACTCTTGAAACATAATTCCAATGTCCAATCACAATCTCAATCGAAAAAACGTCAAATGGTACTCTCGAAAATGACAACAGCACCACATTGAGTTGAAATTGCGTGAATTTTAAGTGAAATAAATGATCTTGGGAATTGTTTTTTGTTATTGTAAATTGGTACTCTGGGCGCACTTTTGACAGCTCAATCTTAGCATTGAAATTGCATTCGTGTTGACAAGCAGATATCATGAAACTGGTAGGTACGAAGGAAACCTTAAAATAATCAATAGTATATTTATAAATAAATAACACATTATATGGAATAGGCGAATATAGATTAAGATTTTCTGTCTTTTGTACCGTCGATTTAATTTCCACCTTAGGAATATCTATCTGACCAATAGTTATTTTAATTATTTTTAATCTCTGTTGAAGATATAAATAAACTTGTACGCAATAACTAGTTGATCATTAAATCTATTTGCACTTTTATTGCAGTATCACCTAACACCCTTTAAGACACCGGAGGCACGATCTCAAACAAATGGTCCGATCTTGGTAAATAAAGACAGAAAGAAACCATTAATAATGTTACATGAAACACAATATGGCAAAGCTGATGTTTATTTATTGTATAAGCAATAATCAGACAAATTACTATAACAATATAGTACTTTATTAATAATTATAAAGAGTTAGAACCTTTTTTCTAATTCAATTAAGTTTATGTAATTAATTACTAATTTTGTTTATGCACATATTGTTAATCTTTATAATCTGTATTATTCTTTGAAGGTAATTATAAAGAGTTTTCATTAATTCATTCATACCTTTTTTCTTATTGTTAAATTTTGCTATATTATTATTAAAACATATAGATACTAATAATAAAACAATATCGATATATAATTTAGTTACAAATAAAAAAAATTATGTATAAATATAAAATAAATAACCTTAATTTAATTGCCACTTATTACGACCATAAAAGTTCCTTATTTCCAAGAAAGACGACGTCCTCGCTAAATAATAATTAGCAAAGCAAATGGTCCAATTTAGTGTTTTTTTTCCATTGGAACCTGGCCTAGAGCGATAAAAAACCAAAGCCATTTTCATATATTGGCACAGTTAACCAAAAATGCCAAACGTTTTTAGTTGTAAAAAGAGAGGAAACGCCCATATAACAAGCGGGAGATTTTTCAATAATTGCCAATAGGTGCAGGTGCAGGGTAGATAATGTTTTTTGCTAATTTTATATGGACATATCCAATAATAGCTTGTTGTGAATTCGCCGATTGAGAATTGCTGCTATAAAAGTTGTTAACCAACTTTAGAAAGATTGAGTTTTTTACGGTATGATTGCATGGTATCTTGGAATGTGATGATAATATTGTGTTGATTGTAATAACTATATTCATAATTGAGATGTATCTTTCCTCTACATGCGTTAAATGATGATATACTTAAAAATATTTATGATTAAGTGCCTTGAAATTGCATATTAGGTAAAAATAGAGGGTGGCTTTGTATAGAAGTCGTCGACATGGGAATATCTGTTCCATACATATGTCAATCGCCAAGCAGCAATAATCGCATGACTGTTTTGATTTAAAGACTATAGATATAAAAAAAAATAGCGGGACACACCTGGAAAAGACAAGCGCTGAATCGCAGTCAGTGGCGAACTCTAGGGGAGGCTTATGCTGGACAGCAAGATAATCTTTACGTACCGGTGTCAAACAAATAACTAAATTATTATAATTATATTGTAAGATTGTTAATAAAAGCTATTATTATTATTATTGTAATGTAGCACTAGTTACTACTAGTCTCCTGAAAGGGCAATGAGGAGGATCATGGTGTTCTTTGTTTTATTAGATTCCATGATTTATATTATCATTAATATATTTATTTTATTATTACATTCTATGTATTACATTCTATAAAGTAATGTATAAACAAAAATTTATTTCCTAGATCTTACCATCAGGTGAAGTAAGCGAACTCAATTTGTAATAAAAAAAAAATTATCGATAATATATTTTTTATTAATATAATTGCCTGTAAATGCAAACAACGAAAAAGTGGAAATTCCATCGTCGATCATCAAATGTTTTTTTTATGTTACACTTGAAATACTCAGAGTTGTACAAAGAAGGAAACGGCCACGGGAAAGGCCATTCTACTGTATTGTTAAGGATATCACTTTTCACCGATCGAATGAAATATTTTTTTTTTCTAAAAGAAAAAGACATACCTAGGCACTTTGGGTGTCTTGAAGTATTTATGAGTCCTTTTACACATGTATGAGTACACATTCGCGCTAAAAAGTGCAATTAAGTGCAGTGTCAGATATATCTCAACGGACCGAAATAAGAATAATTGCTGGATGTTTAATATTCACAAGGCACACCGCACTATCTTTATTTGGACAGTGGGCGGCAGGTGTGCATGTTACCTTAATTGGATACGTGAAAACGAAATGAGATTTTGCTTTTTGGCGCTTAGAATTCGGTTTTTTACTATTTGTAACCTGATTTAGGTCTCAGGTTGGGTCACTTTGAAAGAATTCGCCTTCAAGGGAACATTGTTCGTTCGATTTTATTTAGATTGCTTTTTGCGAACCCTTTTTGATATTTGAATTTTGTGGAGTATTAGGTACTAAATTTTCAATATACTCGTACTACCTATTTCATTTTAGTGTTTTTAAATCAGGTACAATAATTTTCATATATCCTCGGCTTAACCCACGTGGAAATTGTAAGTAGTTAATTTCTTTACTAATAGCTTTGGTAAAGGTCTCTAAGCTGTTATGAAACAAGAACCCAGTGAAGTAACTTTTGACAAAATCAAATTGAGATCCAATTGAAATCACGTCTATATCTGACCAATATTAGTTAAATTTTTAATCTTACATAATTATATTAGTTAATATAGTTAATGTTTTTGATTCGAAATGATATGATATCCTCATAAAATAAATAAAAATAAGTACGCCTATCTATTTTCCCTCAACATTGTAATTTCAATTTTCCATAGCAAAAGTGAAATAGCTACTTATTTTTATTATTATGCACGAGCATCATTTTTAATTCATTGTCTGAAGTCAATCATAAGATCATTTAAAAAAAATATTTTTTTTTATTTTTTAAGCGCTTTTACCCTTTTTAAGTATATCAGTCCTAATGTACCTTGTGCTGATTTCTCAGATAAGATTTTATTACTTTATTCTTTTATTATATACTTTAACTAAAAATTACATAAAGAGAATAGATAGATAATTGTATCGAATAATAGTAGTTACGTATGTCTGTAATTGTATGTATGTATACGTACATACAATTATAGATACATATTGTACGATAAAAGGCTAACAGCATCAATAATACATTTAGTATTAATAAAGTAGCAATATGGATGCAGAATATCATTATTATATAGCTGTCAAGTTGGCATTATAATAAGTTAAACTGCAGTCATACATTATTTAAGTGTTATTCAAATTGCGTATCCTTATAATAAATAGATAAGTATCAAGCGAAGCTAAATATATGAATAACTAGTGGCTGTGTAATAAGCTATTTACAAAGAGAATCAAGAGCTCCGCTCTTTATCCTTACATAGTTTGTTTTGATGGATGATGACGTAATGAAAAGGTTACCAAGTTTTGTTGAAAAACAAACACACTGATTGTTATTATTGATTTTAAATTGTAGACTCCTTTTTTACAATATATGGAATTTATCTGATTATCGTAAGTTAGTCTCGATTTTCACCAATTCCTGCATCATTCTACTTTCTCGTTATATATCTACTTGATCGTCTTTACGTAAGACATTCTTCCTCACATTCAGATAGTCTCAGAACTTTATTAAGAATCTGCTTGCAATCATTAAGATCTCCTCACTTATTGGTCTCATACTAATTTTGTGACGATCAAAATTGTTTGCTTTTATTGGGATAGAATTTTGTAAGACAGCGTAGGATTAACTCAGTACATGAACTTTAAGTTGAAATATTTTTACCGTTCTTGCAGAGATGTAGATAAGATGAGATATTCATTAAAATGTGTTCCTAGAAATTATAAAAGGAATTCAAATCATAATAAATTCATAAGTAGTTACAATTCTTCATTTATTATACCAATAACTATTACATTGTATAAAAATATAGCTAAAATATTGTTATATAACGTAACAAAAATTATTTTTCTTATAGTCATGTTAAATAAAAGAAAATACTTTCATATTGCATTTATTAATTAGGTACATACTTGAAAGATTAAGGTAAATAAGGTATTATTATAGTAGCGTTACATGAATTATGTATAAACAATCGCTACTATTGAATCCATTATTATATTGACTACAAGATAAGTGTTGACCTTATACCATACAAACGTTTTAAAATATAAATAACTTTATCGCTTCTTCTAAACAGTACTTTGTTTTTATGGTCACTTGTTTACGTTAACTCATTTGGTACAGGGGTATATTTCAAACCAGTGTCATTAAGTAATGTTACTATCCAAGAGTCTTTAGGGACCTTTCCTGATTCCAAAAGTTTTACAGCAGCAGCGACATTGGCACCACTCGTGTAACCCACATATAAACCTTCCTTTTCACCAATAAGTTTCATATATTTCACTGCCTCTTCATCAGTGATACTGACGGTACCATCCATGTAATCAAATTTAAACAAATTTGGCACGCACCCATATCCTGATCCTTGAAGTAAATGTAAGGGTTTCGTTATAGGCTCGCCTTTTATGGGTTCAGAACCTGCAGGCTCCACAACATATGATAAGAGCTTCGGATTTTTCTCTTTTAAATATCTCGAAGTGCCGGTAAACGTTCCAGCTGTACCTACTGTCGCTATAAAAACATCCACATGGTGTCCAGTCTGTCTCCATATTTCGGGTCCAGTAGTGTCGTAGTGGGCTTGCGCATTTGCCTCGTTATTAAATTGATTTACATAATACGCTCCTGTTTCTTCCACTATTTTCAGACCTACCTTTTCCACTGCCTGGACGTCAGCGAGTGTGACATTTCCATATGTTCCTTCTACTTGTGGTACTTTGACGCACTTAGCACCCAGTGCTTCCATATGTAAAGCACGTTGGGCGCTATTCCCCTTTGACATGGTCAACGTAAGTGGATGACCTAGCACTGCGCAGACGACAGCAAGACCGCATCCTTGATTTCCCGATGTCACTTCAACGACAGGATGCCCTGGTTTAAGCTCACCAGACTGACGAGCTCTTTTTATCATATGCAGAGATGATCGGCATTTGATAGAAGCTCCAGGATTCATAAATTCACATTTAGCTAAAATTCGACCAGGTCCAGTGTAAAGTCGGTCCAAGGCAACAATTGGTGTATTCCCAATTAACTCTAAAGCGGATGCTTTAATTTCGTTTTGAGCTCCGTCTATTGGAGACATTTTATTTTAGTTAAGACACTCACTACACTCAAATGATAAAGCTCTTGACACAATGACACAGTGAGCACAGTCGGCCTTCTTAAATCGTTACTACACAAGGCAGGGTCGACTAGTTCGGTATGCACCGTCGCGTATCGTGTGGATTCGAACCGAGCGCAAAATTATATATTGCGTAATAGGTGCTTACACAAATATATTTGTATCAATAAAGATTACGAAACATATAGGTACTTGAGTACTAACACACATACTTAGTGCTACTATTTGGCAGGCACTGTCGTCCTTATATTTCTGCCATGAAGCAATAGTTGTCTCTTGTTCTGAATGGTAAGATATCCAGTTCCAATCTATTGCAGAACATAAAAAACACACAGTCCTCAGAAGTGGTAATGCTTGATGGACGCGATAGATAACTTTATCTTAAAGTTAAAAGTAATTGCTACTGAAAAATAATGAAACATTAAGTAGGTGAAATCTACATTAACTAATTGTTTACACAATTTATTATTATTATTCGTTAATATATAAACTATGTGTTCAACACCACTTGAACGAAACTAATCGCGATAAAGATTATAAAGACGTATACACATATAGATGTCAACAAATTTCATTATGTTTGCGCCAACTGGCAAAACACACAAAAAGTGCAAATAGCTGTCACCCCTCGACATGAAACGATTATGTCAGAAGTGGCAATTGCGAGATATTTAGCATTCGCCAATTTAAAGTTAAATCTTATTGAACTGAAAAACCACTTTATATCCCAGTGTTAAAACACAATATTAATTGTACTGTTCTTCCAATTGAATAAATTTTCTACATAAGAAAATCAACCATATTGCACAAGAAATTCAGTTTACATTAAAATGTACACAAGATGGATTCAGTCACACCGATACTGTATTTTGAAGACCCACCAGATGTCAAAGCCGACTGGTTCTATTGTTAACAAATATGGGTACAATGGCACACAATGTGTAACATTATTTAGCGAAGGCAAGTTGAAACCAAATGTCGACCATTTAATAATTGGGTGCTTATAAATTTGGTGAACAAATGGCAACAGTCTTTAATAGTACCTATCACTGTTGTTATTTTTGTTTTACTATTGTCAGATAGTTGATCATAAATATAAATTGATGAAAATTTAAGTAATAAATAAACAGGTGCCGGAACCTGTAAAGAAATAAAAATTAAAACTTTATATGTACAAAATAACTGACACTAATAACAACCTAATGTAGGTACATATTAACATTATACATATGAAGTCAGATCATTACCTATTGTACTTCTGTCCATCGGCATCTTTTTTGTTTCCTTTGTTTTAATTTTTTTTAATGGATACAAATGGGATGGTAACCCTGCTTGCGCTATCAGTATACTGGCGCAAAACCAGTAAGAGATGATACGTTAGAATTGATGCAGGTTAATTGGCCCACCACGACGAATTTGACAAGAATTAACCACTATGGTTTCCAAGAAGAATCGCGTGGAAGTCGACCTGATGGAGTATATTGTTAGCAATGGGGCTGTTAGACCTCATTACTGTTATTTATTTTCTTCCTCCGCCTTAATTTACTTTTAGACCAATCATTAAGAAATTACCATATACTACAAGATGTGTAGATTTTATAAGTTAGTCTTATATTTTGGGGTTTGAGATATGTTTTACCACCATTATCACGTCACCCATACCTGCTCATACGTGTGCTTGTCAGCGAATAACAGTTTCACATCTGTTCCATAAATTCCAATTCTTTATTACATGTTCTACAGAAGTTAATCTTGTAAAGTATGTACCTAATGGCCTTACCTGCTTATGTGTACTATGAAGGATCTCGCGATGAGTCTTGTCCATTGTCTTGGCGCCTTAACCAATCGTTATGTTTAGCATGCACGACTACTTATTTGGAGTAGGGAAGACCATAAGACTATTAATTGTACTATTCAATCAATATGTTCCACAAATGGCTTCTGACAGCTATTTAAAAACCAATAATAAATTTAGTGCCTGATTAGATTAGAGTGACATAATTAGTTATTAATATCTGTACTGTAGCTCTAACTCTGTGATTATTAATTTTAAATATATGTATGTATACGAATCGACAAATTTAAAAAATGTCAAACGTTAATTGTTACTACGAATGCAGCTAAAAGAATTGTACATTTATAAGAAAATGTATTAAAAATTATATTTATGTATTTTCTTTTTTAACATATAGTTATTCAGAAGTCAAATAATTATTGGAAGTATTTTGATAATTTAATGTATATTACATTGTTCCAAATTGAGTTTTACTTCTTTGAGATAAAGATCAGACAAGGAAATAAAGCTCGGTATGCCCAGTTCCCACGCACGCACACCTGCATGTAATAAGCATACAATGCTCGGATTCAGGCTGCCTCGGTTCCTCTCTCTTCGGTCTCATTGTCTCACCTTGCTACGGGCAAATCTCTGATCAATTACTCGTATACGTTGCAATATTAAGTTTTTACAAGTTAGTTATTAAGTCGACAATGCGGACGTGATACCCCAAGTATTTCAGGCGTTCATAGACTACAGTGATCGTTTACCATCAGACTATAAGTATGCTTCTTTGCCACCTCTGTGGTATAAAAAAAATCATATCTATTAAGACATGATAAAACAATGAGTGTAATTACGTCGCGTACTTCTTCCTTCACGTCTGGTTCCATCACCCATATCAAATAGCGAGAACGGTAACCCCTATTATATTAGTGTAAATCTAACTCCGAAAACAAAAATTTAAATTAAAACCAAATTATTTTCCGTAAGGGAAGGTGAGTATCATGACTAATTTTTAAATAAATGATTTTAATTAATTTAGTATTATTCCATGCGTCTACATTAATATGCAGTACAAAATATTTAAAAAAAAGTAATATATATTTCTAGCCAATTCTTCTCAATTTATATACCTGACTTGTAAGAAATTATTATATATAAAATCTAAATGAATATTTTTTTATTTAGTCAAGTAATATAAAGAATATATTATATGTATTATTTAATATTTGGAATATAAATGTAAAATAATTTAATGATACATATAGTTAGATACGTACCTAACTAATAATTAACACGTATAATTAACATGTTTTAAACATGAGGTTTTGCATTAAAAGTTTAAAGTAAAATTTATTAATAACATACTTTTCGTCTTATTTATTAATTTACCTTAAAAATAAAGACAAAAATTTAGTCGTGACCATTGTGGTTTATTTTCAAAGTAATTGAACTAAAAGATAATTTATTGTCCTTTGTGCATCAACAACTAAAATTCACCGAGAAATGAAAAGGACAATAATATTGTAAACCAGGTAACGTAAGTGAGACAGAGAGAGTCGGTATGCTCTGTGGGAATCAAATCACGACTCATGCGCAACGCCGTGAAAGGATCCCTGGGACGCTTTTATATACAGTATGTATTTATAAATACAAAGGAAGAGAAGAAATTTATTTATGTCATTCTTCTTTTACAAGTTTTTATTTCTATTGAGGTTAAACAATATTTTTTTAAAGCTGCCGTGTTGTAATGAGAGAAATTATGTTGTAGACAAATATTATATAATACAGTACAAATATTATTTTTTCTTTTTACTTTTCTTTTATGGATGATGAAACATTCTTTACTTGTTATTTTTCATGATATGATTGAAGTAAGATATTTTCATATACACAATGTAGTTTATAAATGTCATCTTTTTCATAAACCAGTCCAGTTCTTAAACGCTTTAATTTATAGCATACCGAAAGATACGGAACATATACAGTTGATATAAAGCAGATATTAAACGCAATAATTAACTTCGGTTAATAAATTATAAACCTAGAAATCAAATTTACTAACAATATAAATGTGTTATGCCTGTCTGGATGTCATGTCATTTCTTGTGACATTTTTACATCCAACCATAGTAGAACAGTAGTAAAGGTTTTCCCAAGAGACTACAGCATGGGGTTCTCCAAAAGGGGGGTAAAGAGGTTTCTTCAGGGTCGGCAACGCGCGTGTAATACCTCTGGTATTGCAGGCGTTCATAGGCTACGGTAACCGCTTACCATCAGGTGGGCCGTATGCTTGTTTGCCATCTCAGTGATATACAAAAAAAAGTAACTAGTTACCAATTTACGGCTTCTACTTAGCAATTTACTAAGAATTTATAAAATGTACCTAATATGCTGAGCCAAAAATGACTTTTTTACAAGAAATGCCTATCATAATTAAGCATCCGTTTCCCCCTAATGATAAACATAAACCACACCAAAGGTAATTGTATTTTTCATGCAACTATGAAATGAAAATACAAAAATAGTACGTATTTAAATAAAAGACAATAGAATTCATAATTAATTACAAATCAATAGTCATTTGAATATATAAATCCTAACTGTATTAAAGTGTGGACATACTGTATAAAATCCGTGGGCAGGTTCGGATGCACCTGAGTATTTCACACCGCGACTCGCTGGCGCCGACGGCCAGTCTACTCTAGTCTCTGACCCGTGGGCATAGATACAATAACTGATAGAGAGTACGATATAACCAATTCATATTGATTATATTTATTTATAATTATTTCATAATGTTTGAAGTTTAAAACTTGTGCTAAACATATCCTGTTAGATAAATTCTCTTCATAACGCTTCGATTATGGATATTATTATTTTTATTTATTTTTTATTTGCTTGAAAATTACATTTGAAAACATCTTATAATTCCAGCAACGAAGTCCACTGATAACATTTCAAACTTGTTTTGATAATTCAAAAAAGAATAGATATTAATCGGAAAATGCGCTCTCCCTGTGCATAGTCGGTCTGAGCATTATATATATAACCCCCTAAAATTAATTTTAATATTAAACTGAAATGAAAATTGTGAGATTATTTAATTTATTATTACTTTTAAAGCAAAAACAAAAGTCGTTAACATTTTCTTTTATCTTAGTGTCACTGACTGAGCTAATCTCTTTTAACCTTGTAGTTGTAAATAGTTGTTATAATCAAGTTATATAAAAAAAAAACATTGAGTAGGATCAATGCACCCTGAAAATTAGCAAGTAACTCAATAGTCTTTTTGAAGTTGAGTATGTTTTGAAGTCAAGAAAACACATAAATAACAATTTTCGGCTACATTGTAATAAATATTAGGAACTGAGAAGTACCTAAGACTTCATACATTTATGTAAAATTGAAATGTAAATAATTTATAGTTAAATGGAACACATTTATCTTTGAAAATCTTCATATAAATACATAAACATCTATTTTATTATTTCTATCACGTAACTCGCTTTATAACATCAAATATACCATTTTATCTGAACATGGAGTGTCATGTCTATTTATTTATAAGTGTCACCGCCCACTCGTACAGCGTGTCATGCCCCGTAATGGTATTAGCGCATTCCATAATCTGAAAGCTAGTCTTCGACATTGTAGTTCAATCGGCGAACTGGATTGACTATCTGATTTATTAGAAGTTAATAGTTTAATTACAATAAATATCTTTAGAAATGCTCACAGCTCATTCCTTGTTCGAAAACGATTGATTAAGTAAAACGACGTTGAATACGATTATCCCAATGAATGAGTGATATTCTGTTATATACGACTTATTGCTGACAAGTAATGAATGGCACATAAAGCCATTGACCTCGGTTTCTGTTTTTTTTTTAATGGATGATAATGGAAAGTTAACCCCGCCTGCGCTAACGGCAAACGCTGGCGCAGCACCAGGGATTGAATAAGCAGATCAGTTAGCCCATCATGATGAATACATCTAGAATTCAACACGATGGTATCCAGGGCGGACCACATGGAGGTTGACCTGACAGGATATATTACTAGCAATGGGACTGGTAATCCGCATTACTAACAATCCCTTTCCCCCCTCTTGATTGTTGTTATACGCTTGAAAAATCTGACGTCATAATTGTTTACCAACGGATATGTACCAACTTGCTGATATGACTGTTATAGTATATGATAAAGCCACAATTTTCTCTATGTCACAATAGTGTAACTACGCTGTATTCATTATTATTATTACTTTTATTTCTCTAGATATTTTATATGTAGGCAATACCTACTTTAAAATTACTACTACATAATGTTATCATAATTTCAGTTACATATATTATCCTCTGAATTTCACTTATAGACTGTCTTAAATATTTACATTTCTTTCTTCATTTACTGTTACTGTCTTTTTAATATCTTGTCTTAATGTCATAAATGTAGAAGTGAGTTTATTTTAGGTCCCTATCACATATTGTTCGAGTGATTTGACAAGTCTTATCATAGATACCTATGTGACTGACGACTTTTTGTCAATAATACATATGTATTTTACAATATCACAATGACATGTCTATACTATAATAACAGTGGTGGACTAACGAGAGCGGGAGGGTCAGTCCGCTCCGGGCCTCAGTGGATTTACCGAAAAATTGCGAACTTAATTTCGTGTCTTCATTTATACCGAAATCGGCCCGTAAATGGAGCCTAACATTTCGTTCATCATAAATCCTACCTATAAATATTTTAACATTTTTAAACGGTGTGTGTAATGTACTTTTAACATCAAGTTTTTGTTTCGTCCGGCCACGAAATTTCGGGATATATCGGGGAATATTTCATGGTAGGCCCTCTAATCTCGGGACTCGAGGGCTTCCAAACGCTGCAATTTTCCATATCCATTGTTTGTATATGTTAACTTCTAATTTGTTTTACTTGCAAGATTTTAACTAAATAAACATAAACACTAATACATACAAACGTGAAGTGAATAAAAAGCTTGTAAAACTACATCAACTTCTTAAATTGGGGGCCTCATTCAACTTTGACGCCCCGGGCATCTGATAGGCTCAGTCCGTCACTGCATAAGAATAAATATACACATTAAATAAATTGTTACACATAAGAAACAAGAACCTATTTACCAATATTATTATAAATGTGAAAGTATGTTTGTTTCTTTCATTGTTACTACTGTTTTAACTGTTCAATCAATTGTCATGAAATTTTCTATACCTACACATACTGTCTTGGATGGAGTAAGACATGGGCTACTATTTATTATAATTATATATATATTCATATATATTCTTTATTGCACTTGTAAGTTACATATATAAATAATTAATCAAAACAAGAAAATAACAATCAACAATCAATAGGCTACAGTGACCGTTTATCATCAGACGGGCTGGCTGTGTGCTTGTTTGCCACCTTTGTGGTATAAAAAAATATTCCCGTTACGTGGACCAAGTACTAGTAAAATAACTATATTTCTTATAAAAAATGCATTGTCATTAAAGTGCACATCTATAAATACAAATATAAAAACAAATATTTTACCAATTTTGTATTAATATACATAATACCGAAAAAAGTACTCTGGATCTACTAAGGTTTTCCTTAGAGATTACAGTATGAACCAATGTTCAATGTACCCATAACATCCCTGGTATTATACGCATTTAAGACGTCCATTAATAAGCTACGTTTTACCATCAGGGGATCGTATGCAAATTTCCCAACGTAATAGAAATAAACTAGTCAATTGCAAGTTTAACTCATTCGTTCAGACTTCAGTACATAAATGCATAAATATACGAAAATATTACCTTTCTTTTTAAAAAAACTTAGAATGGCAAACAAGCTAACAGCCCACCTGATGGAAAGTGGTAACCGTCGCCTATAGACATGAGCAGTACCAAGGACATAACAGAGTATACTGTTTCGCCCATGATATATGCCCTCCATGCGTTGCCATTCCTGAGAACTTAGGTGTTATTCCTCTGTACCCTATAAATTCACGCTATATCCCACCCTTCAAACAGAAACACAGCCATGAAAATACAACTGCTTTACGGTTGAAACACGAATGGGACAGATTTACCTTTATTGTATTTATCATATGAAATAGACACCTAATAGTTATCACTATTTGTAAACAAGAAATTCGCAATTTCTTATTTTGGGCCATAACTGTTTTTAAATACTACACCGCAGAACCAAGTTTACCTTTGCAGATGCCTTTTTTATAATTTATTTAAAATGGTGCTAGTTAGAAAATTTGTTTTTTTTTTTCCTGTAATATACCTTTATAAACTGTGATTGTTTCAGATATTTCGCTTCATTAACTGCAGAAATAAGGCGGGGAATAGTTTTTTTGTCGCTTTATTGACCATAACTAAAAACTATACAGCATTAAAATAAATGAAAATCTGATTTATAATGTATAAATAAAGCCTTTTTCATACCCCATATGTTATACTAGGCCCTATATGTTATAAGTCAATTTAGAAATTTTGAGTACCCCTTTGCAAAGAGGACTACCTCTGGCAAAGAAAATAAGTCTTTTTTTTCTTTATTACATATTTCTATTGCAACAATATGTAAAACTGTTCCAAGTTTCAAATCGACAACATTAGTAGTGGCTAACGCATAGCGCTGTGACAGGTGGGCAGACGGACAAAGTCGCACCGTAAGGGATCCTTAATAACACTAAAAAAATTGTTATCATTTTATAGGAAAAGAAAACTCTCATGAGTTTTACCTCATGAGAGTTGAGGTTTACCTCAACAGGGATCCTTAAATTGTCAACAAACATACATTTTAAATTATCTTTACGTAACTAATTATCGCCATTCTCTTGCGTGAATGCGACGTGTGTTCATGACTTTGCGTATTCTATATTTTTATACTGACGTATTCAACCTCATTACTAGCAATATACCCTTTGTATCACTGGAAACTATCGCGGCATATTCTTGTTGAATTCACCACAACGTACTGTCTGACCTGACTTTATTCTCTTCTACTATTGCTAGTGATACTAAGCACTGCACCAGAGCTAAATCTAAATCTTTAGAGCAGGAGGAAAGGGATTATTAGTAATAGGGTATAACAGTCCCATTGCGAGCAAAATATCTAGTCGATCTCCTATCTAGTCGATCTCCACACCGAATCTCCTAAGAACCATTGTGGTCAATTATGGTTAAATTCGTTACGATAAGTCAACCGATTTGATTCATCCTCGCCTATCATCTGTCACTGATGCCCTGCTAATATATACTAATAGCGCAGGTGGGGTTGCTATTTTATTTTCATTCATTAAAAAAATGGTAAAAATAAACGAGGTTTACTATTTGATGTTCATCATGAAAAAAAGTCTATATTTATTTTATACCATTTAATTTGTTAAAATAACTGTTATTTTTAAAATAGTTTTTAATATTTTTAAAATAGTATACTTTATTTTATGGAACACTATATCAAATAATTGTCATATCACATATTGCATTATTTTAAAATAATATTTGTACTTAACTGTGGTATTATTTAACAACCAAAATAAATGACTTCGCGGAACCTTAGTGACTTTTATACGAAACCTCTAGGTTGCGCGGAACCCACTTTAGGAAGCGCTTTACTAGATAGCTATCTACTAGATATACTAGATAGGATAGCTTTGTATAAAGTACTCGAATACCTATCTCCTTTCTTACAATTTTGCCACCTAGCAATATCTTAAAGGTGAATTAAAATATGGCAGTGAAATTAGTGATTTTGGAACAATCAGAATCAGATATACTTAATAGGTACATAAATTAAAATAATTATTTACAATTAATATTCGTTCGTTTCCCCATTAGATTTGATAATGTTATTTAAATTTTGTAAATATTAACGTAAAAACAATATCAACTATTAGTTATATAATATATTATAACTATAATAAACTATATAACTAAGTATAATTATTTAAAAGTACCATAAGTATAAATATATTATATAATTATTAAATTAACAGTACCAATAAAATTTTCATCAATCTATGTCTTTTCTTATTATCAAGTTTCAGGTGCGCTGTTACCCATCTAACTGTTATTGCTTCATTATCAAATTCTACTAGATTTGCAATAATTGGCTTTTAATCTGACAAATATTTATAAAAGTAGGTATCTATACCTATATACTTATTAAGTAAAATAGATATGGATTGTTTGATTAGATTAGCGATTACCATCTATATAGGTGGTATCAATTTAGCTATAGTTGTTTATTCATGCTGAAATGAATATTGGTATTAAGTATAAAGCGTAAACGTTAATGTCCCATTACAGATAGTCACATTTTTAAACACTCAGTTTTTTTAGAACTTGAACAAGATGATAAGTAATAAATATGATAACTACCAACGTATACACATGAAAATCTTATAATTATAAAACAATACCAATAATGATTTTACTCACACATAAATATAATTATGAAATATTATTTTTGCCATGAATTAAAAAAATGAGATTAATATTTTTCGTGTTTACCTGCTTCAATTAGTTATAAATGTAAGAATTTTTAAGGCAACTTTTTTATGATAATCGTACCTAGATGACTCCACCTGATGGAAAATGGTAACCATGAACGGTAAACACGAACAGTACCATGGAGAGAGTAAATTATGATGCATCAGGAATAGCTATGCATGATATCGCTCATGCATAGTTATTCTTGACATGTACTGCAAAGACATGATATGACGGTAACGAAATTAACAATCACTTCTATGCAACTTATCACATTAAAATGGTTGTATTTTTTTCTTAAAATTTAGCCTATTCTTTTGAAAATCAATGATATTTTTAAAATTATCAACTACAATAAAGAAGATGCCCCTATTTCGATAACACATTATTGTAATCTAATTAAAACTTTTTGTTTTTGTAATAATTTTCAAAAAGATTTTTAAATAGTTTCATCCTCTGGGGATATGGATTTTTCCTCATTGTAAGATTTTCATCTATAAAGAGATAAGAAATTTCAGAATCTTCAACAGGCTTCCATTCAGTTGTAATCACATTGTCAATCGTCGGTGAAGGATTTCTGGAAACGAAAATATCAAATTTAAACAGTAATAATACTTATTGTTACCGATAAACTCTGCAAATAAACAAAATAAGTTCTACCTATTTACTATCGCTGTACCAAATTTCAATAATATCTGTTCAGCCGTTTAAACATTATTGAGTAACATACATATAAACATCCATATGTATAATCTTAGTGATGATATAAATATTAGCTGATGATATACCATAAATGTTCTCTCAATTAAAATGACCTTGCATATTGTAATTGGGTTTGCTAGAAGAGAACTCTTTTAGAGTGAAGCTCGCCTTTATACATTTGATTACCTCTTTCATATTTTTATGTATAATTAGTGTGTACGTATTAAATGTAACGTGTAAGTATAAAATAAATAAATAAGTTCAAGCACATAATGTCATTGGACTACACTACAGTATTACGATTTCAAGGATAAAAAAAAATTAAACAATGTAAATGTACATAAATGAATAATATTGCAAGTCGGTAATGAATTTTAATTATTCTTATTTTATCTGAAAGGATATACTTACAGATTAGTTTCATAGAAATTTTATCAAATCAAAAATGGTTTCGTATAATTCAAATCAAAGTAACTGTTTTGGCAGTGGCCAAAGCAGTTACTTTGATTAATACTAAGCTAAATGTTTTCCACACAAAAACCGTTTTCAGTAGTGACTGAAAACGGTTTTTGTGTGGGAAACAATCTTTATTGGATGTTATTTCTATTTGTACTCGTACATATTAGTATATTATGAAGATTTGTATTACTTTAAGAATATAAAAACATCGCAATACCTACCCATATTTAGCAAAGTTCGTCCATAGAGTGGTAACCCTTTCTCTTACTAATTCATCTGTTTCAGAAATAGATGCTGATTTAAATACATCTAATTTTAATACATATCCCGAGTCATCTCCGTGACTGGTGCCCTTACGATTAATGTTTAACTTCTTTTTAATAGAATTCAAGCCACCATCATAAGAGAATTCGTAGAAGTACACAGGAGAATTGTGCTTGGCGATCAATGATACGGCTTCAAAAATACCACCTATGAAATCAATATCTGAAAAGAAGTCTATCACAGGCGCGTCAGATTCATCACTTTTGCTTAAATATGCAGATTTTAATTCAGTAGCTACTTCATTGATGTTACTATCTGGAATTCCAAAGAATTGTTTTAAATATGTCTCGAAATTCTTTTCATCTGACAATTTATCTAATATTAGACGTTTAACTGCTAACATAATAATTCCCTCGTTTGTGCAAAACCCTGCCATGTAGGGAACTTTATTGAATATTCCTTGTGATAGCAAATCAAATGTAGACTTATCCAAAAACGGTTCCCAATCAGTCGGTTTCTCTATAGTTGGAACAAATCCAAAATGTAAACCACCATCGTGTTTGTCCATAGCTATTGCAGTCATAGATGTTCTGACTAATTCATCAAAAGGAATTTCTTTCAAGTATTTAAGTAGTTCTTCATCATTTTGAACAACCTTTCCTTTCAACACTGCTAGTTTCCTACTTAGATCTCTTACGTTATTATTTTGGGACCACGGTAGAAGTGATGTTCCAGATTGAGCAATACATTTATGAAATAAGTTCTTAGTCATAGGCGAAAGTGTTAAATACTCAACGGATGCACCACCGGCACTTATCCCAAATATAGTGACATTGTTAGGATCGCCACCAAATTTGCTAATATTCTTTTGAACCCATTTTAGAGCTTCGACCTGATCTCGCAATCCCACATTACCCGGAGCATCTTTTCTATCCAAACATAAAAATCCGAGAACACCGAGTCTATAGTTGATATTAACTACGACCACATTCTTTTTGACAAGATAGTCGGCTCCCTGGGCAGAATCATCAGTACCGCATCCGAAAACAAACCCACCGCCATGAAGAAAAAACATGACAGGTAACAAAGATGTATCAGTTCTAGAGATATTTGGAGTGGACACATTAAGATATAAACAATCCTCAGAACCTGTCACGATACCACTTGTCGTATCAAATTGGGCGCAAGCATTGCAGATTTTCGTGGCGTCTCTCACTCCCTTCCAGGTTTCTGGTGGGACCGGTACCTTTAAAAATAAAAATTAGTATGAAATAATACTTGTTATTTTTTTAATATCATCCCATTAGGGATTATAGTCGTAATATTTATTTTATTTTTATAAATTAAACTAGACTTTCGTGTAATACTTTTGTATTAATTATTGAAAAAATTTACATTCGTCTAGTACTTTCGTCATAATTTAAATAAATTTAATACAGATGTTTATACATATGTATTGCATTGGAATTGAGCGTTGGTATACAACCAAGGTCGATAATAAATTACTAGGTAATTCGTCGCAATATACTTACCTACTGAATGACATGATATCTCCGTCAACATAATAATTATCACCATTCTCAAGAGAGAAGAAAAAAACAATATAACTATCTACAATGTGATGAACAAAAATATCTATATAGTTGCTACGACGGTATAAATAAAGAGATATTTGGTAGTCGATATCTCTGTCTACCCTATAATGTATGATCTGTGTAATGATCTGGCGTGAATAAAGATAACATAAATTTAGATGCATTCAATAAATAATATCATAATTTACTCACCCTAAACCGTAACTCGCCGACTGGAGGTTTTGCATACGGGATACCTCTAAATATATAAAACTGTTTATCCTCCGACAACGTCCCTTGTAATTTACCCTGCTCTACTTCCACAATAGGGGCTGCCATTTTCAAATAAAATAACTGATTAAGTAATAATTTTGATATTTTATAAGTCCAACTAGAGAGGTCCGTATACAATCACTGAAATTCGAAACAAAATGCTATCAATATTTACTAAAAGATAAAACATTCAACGTAATATCTAATCGGTTTGCAAGAGGGACATGTATTTTCGGCTACGAGTATAAATAAAGTATAAATAAAGCAGAAGCAAGTTTTTATAAAGACAAAAAGCAATATACAATGAGCAATTCACGCCTTTACTACTACGTCTTCGCGTGTATGATGAAAGTCTCTAGATGGCATTGTATTAACGTTGCCTTATAGTATTAAAATTATTTATTTTTACGGAAAAAAAAATGTTATACACAGACATTACATAGACTTAATCACTTTTTAAGTATAAAATAATTATTATTTACATTTATTTAAAAACTCTTTATTACTCCGTATTAGATTTTACCGCTGGGTTCAGAATGTGAGTGGAAAACAAAATGTTATCCGCTAAGAGGAAATCCCAAGATATAATTTTTTTTTTAAACTTGAAATTAATTTTTTTTTTTATTGTTAAGGAGGCAAACAACAAACGGTCCACCTGATGGAAAGCTGCTACCGTTATCTATGAACACCTGCAACACGAGAAGAGTTGTTTGTGCATTGTTAGATATCGAAAAATTTGTGGGCAAGTTTTTTTAAAATACCCCATATTATACTGTAAGGAGAAGACTGAAGAAAAGAGCTCGTAGTACGTCGTAATACAGATGTATGTGGTAGAAATGGATGGGATGTACAGTAGTCTGTCCCGCAGGTACGAGAGTAAAAAAATTATGAAGACATCAGGTCGTATAATTTCTTGAAACATACCCTATTTTACAGATGGAAGAAAATGTATAAAGAATCAACATCCCGCCTCTAACTCAGGGAGTCCAAACTATTCGTCGACATGGGATCGTCGACCACTCGAATCGCTCAACACTGTCAGACAGACGATTTTCTTATTTTTGCTAATTTGGATAAAATTGGCTGTTTAAATTTAAACTTTAACGATTAACGTTGACCATGTCATATCACCTAACATTTCATTTGGATAAACTTCTAAAATTCTACTGCTCAGTATCTAGGTATATTTTTCAAGTCGCAGATGTTGTATCTTTTCTTTACTAATTAAATAATGATAAATTTTAATTATAGTGATGACCTGCATTTAATAATTTATATTATATTATAAAGAGGAATGATTAGATTTTTTTACTTGCATTGGATAAATTCAAAAAATGCTCAATAGATTTTAAATATTCATTCATCATAAGAAAGCTACAAAATACGCTGTATTTTATTTATATTTTATCTATCTTACACGTGTAAGGCCGGAGTGAATCGCTAGTTTTTAAGTTACTTAATAAATACATACCCAAACAGTACCATGTCTTTGTTTAAATAGAATACATAATTAGAGCTCTACAGTAAACTAACTCAAATCTTGCTCAGTGAGATAGCCGGATGCGCACCTGTGCGTCCCGTCGCGTCGTGAGAACCGAGCACGATTTTCGAAACAACTTTTTTATATCTTTCAATAGGAATTACAACTCTAATATTTAAGTTATAAGGTTTATAAATGTAATTTTAGATAACTAATTTTATTTGTGTAAGGCTGTACAGCACATAATACTGATATGCTCTGTTTGTTGTGTTATTTCCTACGCTTTGAGCATCCGCGACTAATAGCGCATTTTTTGCAATGTGACCATTTATTACTGGCGTTATTATGATGTAAGGAAATAGTGGGTTCGTAATGTTTAATTAAAAACAATCACTACATATTAACTGGCTCTTATCAATATAGAGACAAAACGAAAAGCATCAGCTAGCAAATCCCTCTGTTTACTGTTTCAAAGGACTTTTTGAATAAAATGGTGACCCATTTTATTGAATAATGAATTCTAGTAATAGATCCTATAAGAATTCCTTTCCCCCTGTGTAATGACTTAGATATTTAGACAAAAGTTTCTTAAATCTATGCACTTCTAAATCTTATGCTGAGTGGGGACCATTTCAGCTGTTATTAATATCATTGTTTTGTAGCTGAATAAATGATTTAATTATTATATTATTTCGTCTTGTCATTTATTCAAAATAAATGACAAGACAAAAAGAATTGACTTAAAATAAACGGGAACCTCTTCTCGTTTCAATCAAAGACAATGTTTCGTCGGTCAACCATCCTATCAAGGCCAACATTGGTTGAAGGTGATACAGTAGTGAACAGGAATGGTGATGATTATGATGAAGTTATAATAAATATTATTTCTATAATTACTAAATATTTATTCTTGCTAAATAAATACATACTTAACTCATATTTCAAATATGTACAGTCACTGAAGGAATGAATTGAATTATAAAAAATCAAATAAGTTGTAAATAATTAGGATATAAATTGTTGTAATTATAGTTTCAAATACATCGCATATAAAATGTATTGGAAACTAAAATGTCAAATTTATTTATTGTAGAAAAAATCTCGGTAAAACATCAGGTATTTGAGGTAAGTTTGGTCCCCCTATTACTTGTACACGTGGACGATTCGCAAAAATTGCTGGCCGTGTGAACCCAATCGCGTTTTTTATATTTTATACATACAAAAAGACTGTATAGTCCTTTGAATATTCTTTTAAAATCCTTTTCTTTGTGGCAGCGTAAAAATCAAATTCATCCCACGCCTACGCTCAGCTAAGTAGATATTTAACAAAATGCCTGGCTACCTACATATTAGTACTTAGAAATTTAAATGTCACTAAGACAGTATTTGTACTGTATACAATCTCAAATAGTAGATACCTATTATGAAATATAATTTTAACCTTTAATTAGAACTTAATAATACCAATTAAATTTAAACACCTAAAAACCTATAACCAATTGTACTTATTTAACTAAATTAAAGCAAAAAGTAAATAATAAATAAAATACAAATTATGTTTAGTGAATTAAAAAATCAATATTATTTAACAAGATTCGTGGAATATAGTCATAATTGTTATCATGAACGCTCAGAGTTTAGCGTTAGCGTGAAATATCAAGGTATGAATTAGGTAACTACAAATCGAAATTTTGAAGTGCCATTATCTAACTAATAATAATGTACAATAATACATCCGCCCATAGTGAACTGGCTATACAAATCTACTGTAAGCATTGAAACTGAGATAAATCAGATCAGATAATCTAACTAGTTATTTATGTATCTAAGAGCTTTAATGAAAGGGGTGTCAAAATAAAATTAATCGTATTTAGGTAAAAATATAAATCTTTGTTCCACAATGAAATAAAAAAGAATTACTTAGGTACAGGTATTTTTCTAAATTTTTGTTTTTGCTTATTATTCCATTGTAGTCTTTTGGCGGGAACAACGTAAAATACCTATTAATGAACCTATTTTTTGTGTTATAAAATAAATATTCATAAGTATCATAAATTTTAACAAATGTTTGTACTACAACGTCAGGACAAAGCGTCTATTAATTGGTCTATAATGAAATATGACTTTCAAAGTATGTGACATTGTTCTTTTGTGGCTAGGTCGTGTAGATAGGTAGTAACAAATGTCTCGCCTGGACCATAAAATCGCAATGGTCAGTACTCGCACATTCACGGAGCACGAAGCTTCTAATGCAGGGTTACCAGTAGCATAAATTGTACTTATAAAGGAAACTTGCAATAGAAACATTTTTTTAGTTTACGTAATGAATTGTAGCTCCACCGGGACGAAAGGAATTATTAGTTAAATGAGGCTTAATAATCCCATTGCTTTTTTTCAGGGCATCTTCCACACGATCCCCTTTGGAAACCATTATGATCTGTCTTCATCCTCATCAATATATGTATGTGCAAGATTGCCATTTGATTGTAATCCATCAAAAAAACTATAACTTAATTGTTTGTATCAAATAACGGGAACGGGGCTTGCAGTTAACCAAGTTATGCCAACTTTCGAAAAGGTCTAAAGTTTGTAAAATTACTACATTTCGTCGTTACAATGGATTGCTAATATAGGTATTAATGTCACACCGCGTCATACATAAGTGTACACCTAGATAATAATTATAAATATTATTTGTCAACCCTATTCAAATACCTATGTGAGTAGATATTCTTTATACAATAGGCACATTGGACGTGTGGGTGGTAATGTGTTTGTGTGTGAACTCAACGCGCGCAGGTGTGCTCGAGACTGGCCGGCGCCGGCGCACATTCCGAAGGCGGTCAAAGCGCGGCGCCGTCGATATGGACCACGTACTTGATGACTCCACAGACTATGACCTAAGATATGATTGAGAGCTATGTACTAGCGACGTTCTGTACATTTATATATGGAATTATATGCCCATGCGCTTAAGCTTTTTTTTTTATATAACTTAGAATGGCAAACAAGCTGACGGCCCACCTGATGGAAAGTGGTAACCGTCGCCTATAGACATGAGCAGTACCATGGACATAACAGAGTATACTGTTTCGCCCACGATACCCTCCATGCGTTGCCATTCCTAAAGACTCAGGTGTTATTCCTCTGTACCCAGTAAATTCACACCATATCCCACCCTTCAAACCGAAACACAGCCATGCAAACACAACTGCTTCACGGTTGAAACACGAATGGGACAGAGGTACCCAAGCAATCGACTTTTGTACAAAGTCTCCCTCTGGTTCATGACATATTTACATTTAAGTATACAAAGTAAAGGTATCTGTCTTTACGAAGCTTTACTCACATCCTGGGGTTGATACCAAACGATTTTGGGGTGGATACGGCTCACATGGCCCTGTCACTACACCTATGCACCTCTATATTAGAAAGAGTTGAATTATGATCATTTATCATCACAACATCTTAGATTTCCCTCATATTTCACAAAGAGATTCTGATACGCTATTCTCTATTATTAATTAGTGTCAATATTTGAATTTGAAATAATAAATTTTAATTTGTATTTTTATCTGAAGAAGGGCCAAATTAAAAGTACCCGTAACCGGCAAGCGTGTATGAAAAGATTGATAACTATGGAAGAAGCGAAATAGGTTTGTTTGAATCGAAGCATTTGGCGTTCCATTGTTTCTACATATCTTAATGGGATACAGGCATATATATAACATATATGTATGTAAAATAATTTTGTAATTATGAATAGCGTCATCTATATATTATTTAGAGATTCAAAAATTTTACCTAATGTTCTGCTTATCAGTGGTAAAGTGATCCTATTCGACACTAGATGTCAGAGCGAATTTATAATAATATTTTAAATTTCTGTTTGGCAAACCTATTAATTAATTAATAATTACTACGCCAAAAAACCAAAGATAATTTAAATGTGTAAAATTTTAAATTAATTGAATCCAAATAAATAAAGGCTCTTATAAACGGGCAACACTGTAAACACATGTGGAAACTGTGAACTTCAGGCACTTCGATCAAATCTAGAAAATTTCGCTTGTCTTATTATAACCAAAGTTCACACGCCGCGCCGGTTTTATTCGAACAAGTTAGAATATTCTAGATTTCGAATACATTGAGACATTAATCAGTCAGTCGAGGTTTTGCTTTCTTTTGTTTCTTCAAACTTGCCAAATAAATTAAAATGGCTAGCGCAGTGAAACGACTTATTCCTTTGCTCGACCGTGTTTTAATCAAAAGAGCAGAAGCTGTCACAAAAACTGCCGGAGGCATCGTGATTCCAGAAAAAGCACAATCCAAGGTACTTCATGGAGAAGTTGTCGCTGTTGGTCCTGGATCAAGAAAAGAAAACGGTGAATTTATTCCTGTTCTAGTAAAAGTGGGCGATAAGGTCCTACTCCCAGAATACGGCGGTACAAAAGTTAACCTAGAAAATGACGAGAAAGAATACCACCTCTTCAGAGAATCCGATATATTGGCGAAAATCGAGAACTGATTTTCTCATTAAGTAATTTTAATTTTGTGGTTCTGATTCTGTTTAGTTATTTAGAAGTTGTAGCGAATGAATAAATGATATGATTGTGTAATACTTGGATGCTGTTGCATTGGCGTTATCTGTTGCATTTCTTATTATAAATATTGTTATTAAATTTGATTGTATTATTTTTCCACATTACCCCTTACAAATCCATACAATAAAATGTTTACTATTCATATCAAATATTTATTGCTAGAAATCCTTAATCATAATGTAATCATTTAATCTACCCATAGCATAATGCATTAAAACCGGAGTCTTGATAAATATACAAAATGCCAATTATTACCAATTGGTACTTACAGTATATATAAATGAACCAGTAAGCATTATTTTGTTTGCACTGCAATCTGTAGGGTCCATTTCTTATTGGATTAAAATACAGTAATACACTAGTTTCATTAAAATTAGTCCAGCGGTTTCAAAGATTAGTAAGAACAAATATTGTGACACAGGATTTTATATATTATTTTGCTGTTCAAACAACTTAGTAGCTGGTAATTTGAACTTCTAAAAAAATTTCTGGCTATGTTGTTTGAAACCATTAGACATTAGTTGGGTTATTTTGTTGGCTGGACTTTTACGACACAGTAGGTATCTTAATTTGAGAATCAGGTATTTGGTGTATTTTTTACTGTAGGTATTCCATTTATAACTAATTATAAAAGCAAAATTTATCACAGCTAAAATCTTGATAAACTAATACCTTTTCTTAACAAATTAGAATAAACCAAATAATATAAAGAACTAAAATAAAAAAAGAAAATGATATAAAGGGAATCTTTAAATTGTTTAATTTATTTTTTTATGGAATAGTCAACTATCAAAATTATTTTTGTAGAATATAAAAAAAAAATATCTATTGTACTCAATATTATTTAATATACTGGCTCTTGTTATTTTACATATACCTTTACATGTAGTCATGATATACTATAATAATCACAATATCAGATTCAAAAAATCACAGTATTTTATGCAAAGCTGTACCTATTCATGGCAAGTAAGTTGGTTGGTCATTTTAATACATTGTAGTTATTACAAAGTTACTTATTTCTTTGTTTTAATTACAATAATAAGCTTTTAATTATATTACACATAAAATTTCAAGGAAAAAGCATTAGAACAATGAAGTGTGAAAAGAAATACTTAAGATGTAAGTAAGACTAACTCACATCATGAGTAGCCTACTCCTCATAAACTCCTACTCTTAGAGGTGGCAATGATATTACATGAAGAATGTATAAAATTATTGCACTCATTCTGTAATGTCTGTGGTATTTTTTATATTACTAGTACCATAGTCACTTCCTATGTAAAGAACTTATTTGCCTCACTTTTAGAGTTCCATAGCAAAAAGTTTAAAGCAACTCTAATAATGTAGTTCATGTCTCTCAGAGCAGGATCATTTATTTAAATTGAATTTGAATAACTGCTAATATAATCTATAATTATACAGTTCAAGTTGTAACTACTACAGCAATACTGCATTAAGCTATAAATTTGGACACACAGTCATTTGTATATATTTTTGTTGTAAAAGATAATGCAAGACTATTACAGAAATATTTAACACATTAATATTACAAAATGTAACTAATTTAATAATTACAAATAATTGTATTCAACCAGATGAAAACATTAGGCTTAATCTATAGTTATAAAATTAGTAACTACTAATACTGTAATTATAATTTGTTTATATGATGTAAAAAGTAATATAAAAGTGATAATGTGTATAATTTATATAATGAAATGCCCTGTAATAAAGATTTGCTTATTTTTAACATAATTAAGTATTACTAAAATGAAAAGAAGAGAGAATTTACATTTGAATTCATTATTTTAATATAAAGTATTTTCATTAAATGGGAATACTGTAAATTGATAATTAATTTGTATTAAAATCTGCTTAAAATATATCAAAGGTACACAAACATGGCATATCTATTACATTAATAAAATATATAACTATTGTAAAGATATGGCAGTACGTCTCACTGCAGCAGATAGTGCTGGGTTTGGATCAGGGGGTTCCGTCAACAACTGGACTGTTGTCCAACAGCCATCTTCATTTGACTGACGTAAAGCCTCCATTATAGCCTGTACTCTTTGTCCATCCTCAAAAGTCGCCGCTGCCCTCACAGGCTCTTTGATCCAATCCATCTGCTCTTTTACAGGTAAAAATGCCTCTTTAAGAGCACTTATCATTTTACACAGACCTTTAACATATGGTTTTGGAACAACACTAGATGCACAACTTAAATCTTCAACATCAACATAGATTACATCTTCTTTATCATGAGGCCTCTTTCCTTCATCTTCTGGGTAATTTTTCGACACCGTCTTGTGTAACCTGCCATGCAAGTCACCACCTCTCACAACTAGATAGCCCCGTTTACTGCATACATAAATTTCTTGGTTGAAACAAGGGCCTGGCAAATGGTTATTTAATGTTGCTGTAACTAGCAAACCTTTGTCCATTTGCAACTGGAATGTACAAAAGTCGGGAGCTGAAATTTTTCTTATGCCGTTTACCTTGGGAGTTTCTTCTACAAATGTTCGCAACACACCATGCACTTTCACAACCTTCTGACCTGTAAGGAACGACACTAAGTCTATCACATGACTTCCAACTAAAGTTAGAGTACCTCCTCCCATTGTATCATCACACAACCAATTATAACTGTCCCCAATTAATGGTCCCATTTGCACACGAACATCAACTAGTGTTAGCTCTTCAGGGTTACCTAGATAGCCTTCTTGGATGCACTTTCGCATATGACTGAATGCTGGCAAGAATCTAAGTGAATGGTTTACTATTGAAATTAATGTAGGATAATATTGTGCAGCTCGAACCATTTTCAGTGCTTCTGCTTGACACAAACCGGCCGGTTTGTCACATACGACATGCTTCCCGATACCAAGTGCTTTCACAGATATCTGAGCGTGTAAATTGGGAGCGCAGACTATGAATACTAGGTTGACATTTTTTTTCAAAAGAACGTCATCAATTTTATTGGTAAAAAATGGAATTTTCAATTCTTTCGCTATAGCTTCCGTTTCTTGTAGAGTTACACCCCATATTGCCTCAACCGAGAAGCCTTTTTCTCGAAGGAATGGTACCAAAATCTTGGCAACAGCACCAGTACCAAACACACCTATTCCTGGTAGCATTTTAAAATTATCTTCAATCAAATTTTACTACAGAAACGGTCTTTTTCGTTGCAAAACATTTATACTGGTGCACATTAATGTAAGTGAAGTTAATTAATTGTGAGGCAAAAATATTCCGCAATAAATATGAATGATAAATAATAATAAGTTTTCTTGATAAAAAGTATTTTATTAAGTTGAACTTGACAGCAAATTATAGAACTGAATTTTTGACATTGATAATGACATTGACAGTTAACATGTCACTTTTATTGAATTAGCAGACGATCATGCATGTATGGATGCATTGAGTCAAATACGTTTTTACTGTTGCTTGTATGAAAAAAAAGCAACATTAAAAGTTTAAAAATAATATGAGAAAAAAAAGGTAGTAACATGTATGTTTTTTTTAATAAGTAATAAATAAATGGTACCCCAACCCCACCCGCGCTATCGATATACGCCGGTGGGGCATCAGTGAAGGATGATACGTAAGGATGAAGCAAGCCAGTTAGCCCATCGTGACGAATTTAACAAGAATTGTTCACGATGCTTTCCAGGAGAAACCACGTGAAGGTCAACCTGATCGATTTGATATTGCCAGCAATGGGATTGTCAAACTCCATTGCTAATAATCCCTTTTCCCCAGTAAAATGTATGTTAAAGAGAGATAGATAAATAGGTAGTAGCCAAATTCACATCATATATGATTACGGTATATAAAAAAGAATTTATTTTATGGTATAGGCCTGAAAAGATTTGATGGTACTTATGAACCCAACAAACTTTGATTGTTTTTAATTGTATTATAATTTTATGTGTTTATTTTTAATTTTAATTAAAGATTTAAGTTTAACAAAACGTAAACGGATAAAATTTAAAAATCAACATAAGTCTCTCTTTTCGTTTAAGAGTTCCCTCTTGTCTGTGCAACTAATTCATGTATTTTTTTCCATCCAGCACTATTCTTTGAGTTCCTTATACGACATGATATCTAGTGTCTATTTGTCACATGTAACTAGTCTGGCCATAAATACTGTTACATAAAAACTTTTATTTTTTTCAACTTTTTAATTACATTGAATTTGGAACACGTTTATAACTTTAAAAACTTCTTTTGATTTCCCGCCATTTTATATATTTTTCGTGTTCGTTATTAAATTACAATATGGAATGGGGAGTAAAAGAAAATAAGATTGCAGTGATCGCCTTGCACCAAGTGGGTATGGAGCCGTCGGTCATATTCCAAACACTTCAAAAGCTTGGTATCAGCCGTATGTCCGTATATCGTACTATCAACAGCTATAACAACACTTTCTCTGTCGAAGACCAGAAAAGATCAGGGCGGCCGCATGCTATCAGAACTACAAAGGCTGTTAATGCCGTTAAACCCAGAATTTGTCGAAACCCCAGTACGAAGTAAAAAGTCTTATCGCGAGAAATGAAGATTCCCGCTAAGACTGTGTCGCATATTATAAAACAAGACCTGAAGCTCAAATACGTAGTTATAAATTTTAGTAATATTACATCATTTCATAAAGACATGCATTTTCATTCGTAACAGAACTTATGGCTGGACTAGGTTCTATCTCGGTTTTTCCCTTCCTCTTTTGCCTTCTATTTTTCCTTCTGCTATGCTCTTTAAATATTCATCATGTCGTATAAGGTGACCCAGTATTGTGCCTCTTCTATTTTTTGTTTTTATTGATGTTCTTTTCTCATTTTACATCATAAGTGTCTTGTGAAAATTTTGGTAGAAAAATATAATCTAAATAAGGTCATGAATATCGACGAAAAATTTTTATAAAAATGAAAAACAAATTTTTCAAATCCCGGTATTTTTTTTTCTTTTTTTTTTTATAAGACTTAGAATGGCAAACAAGTTGACGGCCCACCTGATGGAAAGTGATAACCGTCGCCTATAGACATGAGCAGTACTAATTTCAGAGATAGTGCGTTCAAACAAACCCTGTCGCTTTATATATGTTTTAATAATATGTTTAATATGATAAACAGACGATGTCTGCGGTTTAGTTATGTCTGTCGTTGCTCATGTTTTTTTGCAAAGGGGCTTATTTACATACCTACCTAGGTATTTTAAATAAAAGCTATCCGATTATTAATTAATTTAGAATATTTAAATATTAATAACCGGATTAAAAGCATTTTAAGTAGGTAGTTATTTAGTTGTAGTATTCGTGTAAGTGGAACGAAGAATAACATTTGTTGAGAAAACAGCGAGCATCGTAAGTCACACTGGATGGCGCTAAAACGAATCGCTTTTCGTCGGGGCGGTTAAATTCAATGCTTTGATATCCGCCACCTGGATACTGTAGGGTTGTCAATATTACAAATTTAACTTTTAATAATATCCTATTCGAATTTTATTATAAGAAGATATTGTTAATAGAATATATTATTAATTAGATTTATTTTGCGAGATTAAAAAGTAATAATATAAAGAAAAAAAATCTGATGTTAACTACAATGTTTTCAAATCAAAATTTCGACTTTATTATAATAACAAATAAATAAATAAACAAACTTACCTGTTACTTTTTTATTTATGATTATATACTATCTATGTCTTACGGTTTTGCCCACATGATTTAAAGTAAAAGTAGCCTACTTGAATGATCTACCTAATATAGGTGTTGTCGAATTTCAACTCAACGTACTGATAAACAAATATCCAAAATATCTATGTAATCATATTTTTCTCAACTTTCAAATTCAACTTAATTTAACTTTTTACGTTTGTAAAATGTAATATGTTTGTATATTGCATTTGGATATTTAATTGTCTTAAGGTTTCGTACCTATTTCTGGATGCTATCTAAATTTTAAACAAAATATTTCTTTGTATAAGGGTACTTGATTTGAGTGTGTGTACCATGTAATTTATTATGTTTTATTAAGATAAATAAAAATATAAATTGAAGATTGTCTGTGATATTGTACTGATACTGATTGTCTATGATCTTCATATATTTTAACTAGCTGTAACCCGCGTGAATTCTTATACTTTTTAGTCTACTCATATTATAAATATGAAAGTAAGTTTGTTTGTTTACCTTATAGCGCCCTAATGGCTTAACCAAACATTATGAAATTTGGTATACACGTACTATATGACATATCCTGGTCATACGGACAAAGTCGTGGGTAAAATCTAGTTAGTGTATAAAGTATGATATTTGCTAACTCAGGATATAAGCGACCCATGTACCGAGATTCATTCAAATTCGCTCAGTAGTTTTTGCGTGATAGAGTATCCATCCATTCATCCATCCATCATTATAAACTTTCCAATTTATAATATTAATAGCTATAATATAATGATTTGTACGTATACCTCTCTAGTCTAAATGTAATTAAAAAAACAAATAATTAATGTGTCAACCCTATCTAAATCCTATTTGCAGCAATCCGCCCTGACACCTCTCTCAAATCTGAGTCGGTATGAGTATACTTGATCGCCTCCACAATTAGAGCTGACTGACGAGCTCAAACAAACGGTAACTAGGTAAGTATTATCTAGTATTTAATTTGCAATTAAAATATCATATATTCTTGTTATAAAAGTATTGTATGAGTAAGTATAGGTATATACCTACCACTTCCACTATTTTAAATTACAAAATTAAATCAATAGTATAAAAAGCTTCATATTTCTACTGTAAAATCAATAATAGTTATTATATTTTTAGTTTTCAATGTAGTAGTATTGCGTTTGTTTCTTATCTATCTACCTATATAGTAGGTACAAATATTAACATCCTGACTTATATTGATTTTTTCGCGAACATGTTCTAGGGAAGGCTGGTAATATGTTATCATGGAATTCACATTGGTCATTTTTAAAAGTACTTGCCGTATATTTTTTCTATTTGTATTGTATATAAATATATAAAAATGTAAGTTATATAGAAGTGTAAGAGGCGATTAAGGGAACTTAATAATCGAGCGGTGGGATGAAATGATCCCTCTTAAAACGTCACCAAAAGTCAAACTGCGGTTGCTCATCTGCCTGCCAAGCGTGGCAACTACTGGCTAAATCCCCCAACGGTAACTGCCGGGGGCGAAAAGGTTTGTTAGTATATAATAGTAAATAATAATGGGGTCTAATTGATCCATTGCCAGCAATACACCCTATCAGGTCGACCTCCACGCAGTTCCCCCTGAAAACCATCGTGGTTAATTCTTAATAGCGGAATTTGTCACGATGGGCTAACTGACCTGCTTTCGTCATCACCTATCATCCCTCACTGGTGTCCCGCCAGCGTATACCGATAGCGCAGGCTAGGTTGCCATTCCATTATCACCCATTAAAAAAAAAGTTAACTGCCATAAGAAACGGCCCGTTCATTATTCTACGATGTAGGCCTATGTTCAATAGTGAACAAATAACGGCTGATATGATGATATAGTAATAAATAAATAAATAAATAAATAAATAAATAAATAAATAAATAAATATATATATATATATATATATATATATATATATATATATATATATATATATATATACATATGTATGTATGTATGTATGTATGTATATATACGATAAAAGAAATTACATAAAAGGAACTCATGTTACATACGTTTTTCCTTTCATGTGTATTCCACAGAATGATTATAACTCAATTTATTGCTTTGCCCTCAAAAGAGCAAAACTTTGATTTTCTGTTGTAGCCTGCTAGCCGCGAAATTTTAGGACAAAAAATATAAATAAATAAATAAAATATAGCGTATATTTTTAAGAGACTTCAAAGAAGAAGTTATAATAGTTCCTGTATTTTGTTATGTATATATATTACATGTTATCTTAGCCAATTTTGAACCGATTTGACAGATTCTTTTTGCATTCGCTACGACTTACTTTCATGTTTATATTTTTTTTTCAATTAATGCCACTGTTTTTGCGGAACAAAATCCTATTGGCAGCTATTATTAATGTAAAACTTCTAACAGAACGGGACGAGATGCTACATGACTCTTTTATTATTTAAAAATGTTTTACACTACAATATTTATTTTGTATTTGCAACAATTATTTAGATTTGTTATAATTATAATTAATAATGCTCATTGTCAACACTTCAATAATTAAAAATACATAAATAAAAAACACAATGGTTAGCCTTATTGATTAAAATATTGTATAATAATATATAAATTAAAATAATATATAATAATATTGATTAAAAATGATTTCTACTAGGCAACCTTTGAAATAAAGTAGTCTAGGAGAACAGTCTACTACCTAGATACCTAAATCATCATTAAGTCCCAAAATGTCACGATTTTCGGACGTCGCATGCATCGCGATTTATTTCGAAACTGGGTTTAACGAAATTTTGTAAAAGTGTATTGTATGTTTTAATCTATACTTTTATACTAACGTTATAAAAGGGCAAGATTTGATTGTTTGTAATGAATAAACTCTACAACTATTCTGTCAGCGAATAACATAGGCTACATATTAATTTCGAAAGTAAGATCTGGATCGCTAGTAATAGATAAAATGGACCCGCTAGATGATGAAACAATTTTAAACAGCTAGTAAAATTATATATATCTTTAAACTTTAAATTAATAGGTAATTGCTTAATAACTACGCGCCACACGGCAGAGACCAATCGTCGATCTAAGACTTATACATATAAATAAATAAATATACATATAAGATTAAAAAATATGGAAATCTATTAGTAGGGAGGTTGAGATGTCGTGAGACAGGGCGCGTAGCACGTGTGCATCAGAAGATCAGAACATAAAGTATTAAGTGTCGCGGAAGTGCCCTATGACGCGGCTCCGTCAATCTTTTTGTTCGCTCCTCCTGACGACACTAATTGCTTTACGCTTTAGTCTTGTTGAAAAAAAATTGCGTTATTTTAATAGTAATTATTGCATCAAAATGTAGAGGAGATTGTCACAAAATTCTAGCTGTCCTTATACTAATATTATAAATGGGAAAGTGAGTTTGTTTGTATATTACGTCTTAACGTCTTAACGGCTTAATCTATCACCATGGAATTTCGTACACACGTGAGTACCTACTATATGGTATAGAGAAAGATATAGGGTACTTTTTATCCTGGTCACGCAAACGAAGTAAGAAGCTAAAAGACAGTAATCCACAGTTCCTTACTAATATTACGTGGAAGTAAGTCTGTCTATATATATGTATACGTATAATAAAAATTTCATGAGACGAGATGCTGTCACGTAAAGCTAATGCTATACTCTTCCTGATGAAGTCAAAACAATTGTTAGAAATGACAAATATATTGTGGTTAACATTATATTTTGTGTACAATAAAAAATAAAGAATAGAAATAATAGAATAGAAAAGTTTCCTCATATTCTTAAGTTTTGATGACAAACCTCCATTGTAAATAATTACGGGAACATACTGGAATGGAAATAAAATCCAAGACCTGGTCTTATTGATTGCAAATTATATTCAAATACATATACCGATACGAAATTGTAACCTTTAAGAAAAGAGCATATTTCTTTTTAAAAGGCCGGTAGCACATCTGCAATAACTCTTGTGTTGCGAGTGTTCATGAGCGGCGATAGTCACTTACCATCAGGTAAGCCGCATGTTCATTTACCCCCTATGTTCTAATAGTACATTACTGCAGCGGCCAGCAACTGAGGCATTGATGGACGAACGTGGAAATGTGGGCCGGGGCATAGCCGAGGCACACATACGTGAGTTCATCAATGCCTAGTTGTGGCCAATGTTTGTATAGTACTTTTCTCAAACAATGCGCGGAAATCAAAAACACAATTTTATTTTTTAAGTTCAATGACAAATGACGAACAATAATATTTTTTCACGCGCCATAATGATCTTTTGTTTTTTTTTTTACAATAAACAGCTTTCTATTTGCGCTTGCAAATAGCTAGTTCGAAATTTAAATAAAATAATGCTCACATTTCCAAGCATGTTCCAGAAAAAAATATTACTACATATTATTTATCTATAGTTAATCCTATATTTGGAATGATAAATTATATTTGAGACTTGAAATAATTAAACTTATATTTCAACGCATATAAATTTCATATTTTTTATATTACTACGTATATAGTTTTTTTTTTTATAATATACATTGTTAAATAAAACTATAAAAAAATATCATACAAAAAATAATAATTTTGAAAAAAAAATTGCTTAAAAATAAACATGTACATTCATTATTTATCCTTTCTTATAATATTAGCATCAGATTCCTATCCCTGACAGTAAAATATACATTTTCAGTAGGTGCGAGTTCTCATTTGTCGGAGGGTAATCCTGTATGTTGGGGTGGGGCAATGTTGAGCGCCGCCCAACAATGCGCCCGCGCCGCCCTGCGTCCGCGCATCACACGAGCATCGTCAATGCGATAGTGAACAGCGGAAATACATTTTTTTTTTCAAATTTACAATGATGTTTAAAAAATATTGTATAGTGTATTAAAAAAAAGTTTTTTTTTTTAATGTTATTTGTGCAATAATAAAAAATGCCAAGAAAACGTGCGAACAGATCACCGCCGGTGGAAAAACGTTCCGAGGATGCCGACGATGATGATTTTTTCTTCGATGACACCCAATCTAGTTCAGGTCAGTAAAGGATTTTCTGTTATGGAACTATCAAATCTGTTATAATTTATTTAATCTTGCAGCACCTATCTAAATATTTTAACACGTTGAACCCCATGCTATAAATCTATGTCTTTCCATACGGACAATGTCCTACGATGTTGTCCACCACCGGTGGGACCGTGTCAGATAATGCTACGAGCACCACGCATTAAACATGTCTAAATATTATGTCTGTTACTGTAAAATCCCGAATAACGATAAATCAAAAATTTTCTATCTTTGTATTGGAGGCATGGTAAATAAAAAAAAAATAGACAATATTTAGACATGTTTAGTGCGTGGTACTCGTAGCATAATCCGACACGGTTTCACTGGTGCCAAAAAATAAAAGGTATGTTAGATTTGGTTTGATAAAAGCCCGAAAAATAATTGTTTATATATATATATATATATATATATATATATATATATATATATATATATATATATATATATATATATATATATATATATATATAAAACCCTTAATTTTAAAATCCATTAAAAACTGCCCTCAGGAGTGGGCCTCTGTTGAGTTCAACTTTTTTCCCATAAAAGAAGGATACAGACTACTATTGCAACATTGATTAGGCGACTTGGTGTATGTATTGGTGTGTTTTGTTTCTTTATTTTTAATAGATGATAATGAAATGATAACCCTCACTACAGTATACACTGGCGGGGCACCAGTGAGAAATAATAGGTGAAGATGTAAACAGGTCTGTAATTCCATCATAGCAAATTCTACAAGAATTAACCACGATTGTTTCCATGGGAAACCGCGTAGAGGTCGACCTGATAGAGTGTATTGTTAGTAATAGGGCCTTAGGTTTATAATATGATTATACGGTATCTTCGCCTCTTCTGAAACAATTTCAATGATTCTTTTCGTAATCTATGTTGATCCCAAGAAAATATGGTTATAACCGAAATGCATTTTTCATTTAAATTTTAAATTATGTAATAACTGAATTTTACCCCGACTTCTTTTGTGTAATCGGAATATAATCACTGAGACAAAAAATTGTCTATGTTCTTTTCCATCCCATACAATAATAATTGGTTACTACGGTAAGAGATAACGATCAAACTCACTTCAACATTTTTAATATTAGTAAGGATTTAATAATTGAAATAAACTATTTGTCTTATTAACTTTTCTTATCCTCTATAATCAATGAATATAGAATAATCCCTTTGTTTTCATTATACACATATTTTAACTAGTGCATCGCGAACTAAAAAAGTTTGGAAATCTCCGGCTAGATTATATGAATTTCTAATGAAATTTCTTAGCGGTCATGAAATGAATCGTTCTTTTTAGATACTATGCGAATAAGGAAATTGTTTAATTTATACTAAGTACCTATATAAAAATTTATAGATTTACAACATATAGTCAAGTTAGGTCACCCACCTAACCTGACTATATGTTGTAAATTTATTAATTTATTAATTAAGCATGTTGTGATGTGTATTTTGATTTTGTAATATACATGGCAACATTTGAAAGGTGAGCATTTAGCTCGTGTGCCATTCCATGTTCCATTAAACATAGAAAAATAAAAAAATCATAATTTAGAATTCAATGGTCTTAAAGATCAATCTCATAAATGAAACAGTGAGCTCATTAAATTCCTCTATTATACTATCTTTTTGTTCACTACTTCGTAGTTTCAGAAATAGGAAAACTAATGAGTCGGATTATTTCTAAGTGTGGTATCATGATGAAACATATATCAGACATTAAATTAGTCCTTTAAAAACACAAATGTAAAAACTGTATCCAATTTAACCTAGTAGTTTTTATGTGATGCCGAAACAAACATATGGACAGACAAAAGTTCTAAAGATTATTGTTTAGACATCTATTGGTCTTATTAAGACACTATAATTTACATAGATACACAAATATTATAAATAACAAATATACATACACATATAATATACAGGTATAATATGTACTATATTGGGGGGAAAGGGATTGTTAGCAATGGAGATTGACAGCCCTATTGTTAGCAATATACCCTATTAGTTCGACCTCCACGTGGTTCCCCCTCGAAACCATCGTGAACAATTCTTATTAAATTTGTCACGATGGGCTAACTGACTTGCTTCATCCTCACTTATCATCCTTCACTGGTGCCCCGCCGGTGTATACCGATAGCGCGGGTGGGGTTACCATTCCATTATCACCCATTAAAAAAAATTTACTATATTATACACAAAGATGAGAATAGTAAATATGTAATACTTACCGCTTGGATAAAGAATAAAAGTAAACGTGATCTTTTTTAATGACAGTTTAGACGTATCTCTACAAGTACTAAAGATATAAAAATAAGTTAGTTTGTTTGTTTGTTACCTATTGGCCAATCACTATGAAATTTGGTGTACAGGTACTATATGGGAAAAAAGGATATGGGGGAAAAGGACGCAGGCTTTTAATCCTGTTCAGTATACGTATGGCGGTCATGCGTACTAAGTTACGGATAGAAACAAGTTTGAATTGAAATTGTAGTCTTTTAAATTTTATTATTACACTTTGAGCAACACACTAAGTTCTAGCTCAGTATAAGTAATAGTACTAAAGGTTTTTATCAAAACGAACAAACATCAAATGAACTCAAACACGACGGGTTTATCATGTGAAATTTACGGTTCCTATGCCCACCTTCCGTTTTCATCATCATATTGTATCGGCATCAAACCTAAGTATGCAAAATTTCAATATAATCGGTCCCAAGCAAGTGGTTAAAAATCAGATTTTATTATTTCAGCCCCTAACTGTCCACTGTTGAACATAAGCCTTCCCCATAAGAAGATTTTTGCTAGTAGTGCTAGTAGTTCCCTCTACTATAAAAGTTCCTTAGTCACCTCTTACGACACCCATAGAAAAGAAACGAAGTGGTAGACCTTGCTTTGTGTAAATTAGAATTTTCGATTGATTAGGAAATGAATATTTCCAAAATAAACAATAAAATGAATAAGGGTTTAAAAATTTTAGGTAATTATGATATAATATTGTAATTGGATATCATTTGGAGAAGGACTTACTAATTTATCCCACTAAATAAAAACAAACGTTTTAATTTCATGCGATGAAAATGGAATGGTTATCACCCTTAGTCTATCGCTATCGGTATACACTGGCGTAGTACCACTCAGTGGGGAACGTGAATGTAGCAACGAGGCTAGCAACCATATTGTTAGGGGGGAGAAGAACTGTTAGTAACGAGGACGTTAATCCTCATTGCTAGCAATAAACCTTGTCAGGAGTACTTACTTCCACGTGGTCCCCACTGGAAATCATCGTGCTGAATTCTAGGTGTATTCATCATGATGAGCTAACCGACCTGTCTTTTCATTCTCACCTATTATCCCTCACTGGTACCCCGCCGACGTATAACGTTAGCGCAGGCGAGATTACCATATAATTGTCATTTATTAAAAAAAAAATATTGTTAACAATTTATCCTGTTAGGTAGTCTTCTACGCGGTTACCCCTGGAAATTGCTGTGGTTAATTCCTGATAAATTTGTCACGTTGAATCAATTAACCTGCCTTCATTCTCACTTATCATCCCTCACTGGTATTCGGCGTATACCGACAGCGCAGGTGGGATTACCATTTCATTTTCAACCATAAAAAGGTATTAGTAAATAATGATAGATGAGGACGAAATCAGAACAATTAAAAATTACTATTTTGCTTTCTTTTTGTAGGTCGGGGTACACACGAACCACAACATAGGAATGCAGCAAATGCGCGGGAAAGAGCTAGGATGCGAGTATTGTCCAAAGCATTTTGCAGGTAATTGATTTTTTTTTTGATTGATTGAAAAAGTCAAACACCTACTAAATAGCGAGTGAATAAGTACTACTTATGTAAATAAACTCATATATCTAATAGAACTGGCCTTCTATAAAAGTGGCAAACAAATTCATCAATGGAATCGACATCGCTAACAAGTCTGCGAGATAGAATAAGATTGCAACGTCAAATGTCTCATTCCAACACATGGACTCACTTTTGATAGCGATTCCATCGATGGATTCGTTTGCCATTTGTCTAAGGGGGTTGATCTATCACCGCATAGTACTTAAAACTTGAAATTTTACAGGTGTCAAAGACATTTACTGAAGAGAGATATTTCATATGTTTCTTTGTATACCATCATTCAACCAACCAATTTTAATTGTTAATGGGCGATTTAGTGAGCTATTTCCCATTTTCTTTATATATAAATATATCGCTTATTAAAATTTTGTAAATTAAAAAAAATGCTTACCAAAGGTTGAAGACAACGCTGCCTTGGGTACCAGCGGACACAAAATTGTCGAAGTTAGATACCTTGCGATTAGCTGCATCATATATCGCACACCTGCGCGCCCTGCTTCACGAACCACGGTCTGCTCATACGCCGCCACATCCGCTTAGTTTGGTTAGTAAACTATACTTTTATACACAGTTTTTTTTTTCTCTATAACACAAGGGACAAACGAGCTTGCAGCTCACCTGATGGTAAGTGACTATTGCCGTCCATGAGTACCCGCAACACCGGAGGTATTGCAGGTGTTGCCAGCCTCTTAAAAAGGAATATGCTTTTTTCTTGAAGATTACGTTGTCATATCCGTTTGAAAATACTGCTAATGGTAGTTTATATACATATATACCAATATCGTAATTATTATAAGAAACATCAGGCTAATAGAATAGATATTTGTCTATAGGTGACGGATACCACTTTCCATCAAGCCGTCGGATTATTTGCCATTCTGTATGTTGCATAAAAAATGTGACAATTTGAAAAGATATTTACATACTTATTCGTTTTATAATAAGATTGGACCTTCAAATGTCTGTTTTCTATTACCAAATTATAAAAAAAGATGACTTGTTTTGGATTATTTTATTTATTTAAGTACTTTTGTTATTTCTAGAATGCCTCTCTCTTAAAGTTTTTATACACATTTGTCTTCATTAATTTATTGCACTACCGTCGCGGCTAGAAACGATTACTTATTAATCAACCACCCGAACCTATTAAATGTCACTCAATTCCTAACAACCTCGCGACATAAAAAATACGCCCATGTGTCACACAGCTTTCTAATAGTTTACGATTTATTCTCTGTCAGACTTGTCATCCCGTTAATTCATTCGGTTCGGCACGAGCGTACTGAACTCCATCCAGACAGCAATGAATCAGTAGTTTCGGTTGGCAAACGCCACCGCAGACTTTCATCGCAGGATTATGGACACGTTCCACGAAGGCCTGTGGTTTGATCGATGTTAGGATTAGTTTTGCTCTGACTCGAAACATCTTTGAAATATGGTGTTTACTGATGGTTTGAAAATCGAACAGTTTTGCTTCTTTATTTTTTTTTTATTTTCCAGTATTGATGTTGAATTAAGCCTCTATAAGGTACATGAAAATAATACCTTTATTGCTTATTATAAGGATTCTAACTTCACAGGCTTGATGTTTTCTGTCAGTTGAGAATCGACATAATTTTTAGATATTAAACTTATAAGATTAATTTATTTAAAATAGTCAAAAATTTAAATAAACCCTTCCATTTTTAATTCCTTATTTTTTATTTCATTTCCTAGTCGCCTTGTGTGTTCCACGGACATGTAAATATAAACATATATTTTTTTCTCTATAAAAATAACGAATCACTCTTCTGGTCCTTTTGTTCAGATATAAACGAATTCAAATATCGTCTTAGAACTGGAGAGGATAGAAACAAAAAAAGTTATAACAACAAACATTAACGCTGACCAAAAGTTTGCAGCTGTTACGCGTATAAATAAAGTTTATCTCCGGACGTAAATGCTCCCGTTTTATTGTTCTTCTCGACTTTGTCTTGTTTGCTGCTTTATTGTAAATGTAAAAATTAGAAAGGTAAGAAATTTTCAAGCGCCTTCAATAACGAGGAAATTCTCAAATCGTTTTTATTTTTTACAAGGGTTCTGCTTCGGCTTAGCAAGAGTACAATTTTTTACTTAGAGGAGACCGAGGAGAGTTGAACCATTTTTTATACTGAGACCCATAATTTTTTAATTAAGCGATAGAAATGAACTTGTATTATACTAAATTAAACCTTGTTTAACTAACTAATAAATGTTTAGGACAAAAACTGCGACTATTTCTTTTTTACCCATAAAAAGTTAAAGACAACTAGTGACTTTGTATCAACTCTCCTCTTACTGAAATAAATTGAAACACTGGTCTAGGAGAGTAATAATAATAATAATCTTTATTTGCTTAAACACGGTAAAGTTAAAGATGTTGCATTAGTCAAAGAACATTCGTGCTTAGCTAACAAGGTGATAGCATGCAAAAATACATTTAAGGTTAACAATTAACATTTTGTTTTTTGTTTTTTTTTTTTTTGAAAGTATTACTTGGAAGTTGAAACTATTACCTGGAAGCAATCCATTATTAAGAGACACAGATTTATAAGTAAATCTTATATTAAAGTTACAATTATCCTTAATTTGTACTATCAGTCTCATAGTTACAATATTGAGATCTTAGAAACAAAAAAAAAAAAATAGCAAATAATTAAACATTGAAATATATAGAAAATAAAAATTAAGCCATCTTAGTCAGACAAACAGTTATAGCACACATAGGACATTTCGCTTTCAGTGCATTGCAGGTGTGCCCACGCCTTATACTCCATACACTGGATCCATTGTTCATTTAGCTTTCTTCTACAATTCTTGGAATATTATATATTGTCATAACTTTTCCTGGGTGTGAGCGCATCCAGTTATCACATATCCTGTTGACAGCTTTTTTCATTCCAAAGATAACTCGATCCATGGGCTGAAATTTGTGAGTACAATGTGGTGGAAATGTTAACAAAACAATTCCATTTTCTTACTGAAATTAATATTCTTTATATTAATATGTGAGGCATAGTTGTCCAGCAATAACAAAACTACATTATCTTTAGAAGGCTAGACTTAATTTTTAAAATGTTCAAAAAATAAATAAAAATCATCTTGCATCCATCCAGATCCGTTGGCTACTCCAATAGATCCAGATGGCCCATCACGAATACAATGATCATTAAAACGCTTGCGTGGGATTATGAACATTGGTGGAATGCAATTTCCTATTGCATTACCAGCTAACGCGATGGTGACCAAAGTGCCTCTTTCTGTCGAGGTCATGGCACTGGTCTGTTTTTAACCTCGTTTTGAAACGACCCGATCTGGTTTTTGGACAGTTGTTATTCCAGATTCATCAACATTCCAGATGTCCTTTGCTTCCAAGTGGTGTTTATCGAGCACAGATGTATAGTTTTTAAAAAACAATTCCACGTTAAAGCTGGTCGCTCGCGCAAAACAAAATACCAATGCATAACAAAATGCAAACGAGATGAGTTGAAACAGGCTGTTTCGACTCTCCCAGGGTACAGAAGTCGGCCGCCATTAGGTTTGAGCTGACATAACTTTGTTACACTGCACAGTCATGTAAAATCAAAAACAAAAGTTTCATTAAGATGTACATAAAATCTTTCCGTTATAAAACCAAAACACCCATCAATATCCATTGCACGGTTTAGAAGAAGAAAGTAGAGAAATAGACAGACGTAGACAGCGACTTTATTATTTTAGGAAAGCTTACTAACCAATAATAATAATACCAAATTTGTAAAGAAAAGAAGATATAACATTAGATATTATAATATATAATATTTCAAATAGATTTATAAATCCATTATGAATTTATTACGATTGAATTCTTCATTTCATATACTCAGCCGAGTTTATAAGGTGTCTCTTTGCCGATTGTCGTTATTTCAGACTTGTTATTTCTAGTTCTGTCTGCAATCAGTGTTTTGGTTCCGTTATAGTCATTTGAATATAGAACCCCGAAAATGTTTTAATCTCACTATATCACGTTTATTAATTTCTTTTAATCAAACAATATTAATTAGCATATTATTTTAAATAAAATTATAAAAATGCAACATAAATTTTATGTACAGCAGAAAAAGAATAAGACGATTCATATTTTTCAAAAAAGACCTCCCAAATAGCGTTAAGTGTGAAATTCTCTATTTATTGCAACATACATAAACTTGACCGCACTTTTTATCTTCAAACAAACACTGCGTCTTGGGGCCACACGTGTTCGTATATTGCAAGGATACCGTTTATGAGATAATAACATTTACAGGATTCCGTAGCCAAATGGGTGCAACGGAACTCTTATGTAGTTTAAAGTCATACATAGTTCGAGTTGTTAGTACTTTTATTGGCCAATCGCACAGAGATTAAGTATTAACCTAATTCATGGTTTTCATTTTCATTCAGAATTATCGAAGACATCACGATACGGGTAAATTGAGAATATAGTTTGTTTAAAAAAAAAAAACACTTTCTATTTAAAATTAGATAATAAATTATATGGTCGTGTACAGTGCGATTTCAAATGTAAGAATGCACAAATCTGTTGAGTTTTGGTCGTAAAATAGAGGAAAATTATAGCAAATTATATCGGTTTATCAGAATGTTACTGTATTTAATGTATTTAAGATTTAAATTCAAAATACACGTTCCTTGTGTGTCGCAAGTGTCCACTTAGAAATGATTGTTGGCATATCTACATCTAATGAGAAAATATTTGTTTGCCGTTATAACACGTAGTTTTATTATTGCAGGCGTGGCCCTTCGCTTTCCAACACGGCGGCAGTCTCAGCTGTTCCATATCACAGAGATGGAATATCAGTGCACAAGCAAATGAGAGTGCACCAAACAATCTCAAGAATGTACAACAGAGAGATGCACAAAATGGCGGTTGCAGTGAAAATTACAACCATAAATATTGCGACAATGACTATGAAGATCGATGTTACGAGGATCTGACGAACGAATCGTGCACTCAGATGCAATATTGCGAATATGGATACAAGGATAATTATTATGAAATGCGAAATTATACGACCGAAAATCTCATTTAACGTATAAACTTGTACTAGAATATTTTATTAGTATATTTTACTGCAATTGTTATCACAGATCAGTGTGTCAGGGTCAGAGCTCTATTTAGCGGCCCAATGATAGTCAAGTAAAGATAATTCTTCGTAAGAATTAATCTTTACTGTAACACAGTCGAAATATCGAAATAATTTTGAACCATTATGCGAGTAGAATTCGCCCGATCATGTGACACATTTTATAAGATTTTGAAATTTTTTTTTTTCGATTATGTTTCTTAGGAAAAGTTGAACAGTATTATGAGTTCACTATCACCTGATTTTGGCGTCGATATTTGTAACTGTTTCTGAAAAATTGTTTTTTTATGCAATATGATGTAGCCTATAGCATTATATAAAAAATTATAGCGAACTTTTTGGTAAGAGTCAAAATAAGGATTGATAAATGTTTGTTAATCTTTCACGCAAAAACTACTGAACAATTTTGAATGAAATTTGGAAGGATAAGTTTATATCCTAACTTAGCACATTAATACTTTATGTACCTACTTACTAGTTCACATGGACGAAGCCACGGGATATAGTTAGTCTACACATATTGGGTGATAAATTGTAGAATAATATTAACAATAAAAAAATCCCCATAAATATATATATTATATATATAGTTTTTAAGATCAAAATATTTAAACCAAAGAATAGTTATTAAAATTTTTCGTGATTTTTAATTTGTTTGAAATTGAGATATCCCATAACGTACTAAAGAATAGAGAAGTAGGTATAAGCGGTTAGAGTCAACTAAATAGACTGCTTTCAAGCCATGTACTTAACATGAGTTAAATATTTGAACACCAATGTCAATTAATTTGAGTTGACGCTGTTTAGAGAGGAGCTGTAAGAATTGTCAACTGTTTTCAGTTTGTGGTTTCCTAAAATATTATCATCAAAATTGTCTAGTAAAGATCGCTATAAGCGATAACGCCGCCCGTTGAACTTCTACTTAATTATTATTATTTATTTAATTAGTAACAAGATATTTTTAAAATTGTCAATAAGGAGTATTTATTATTATTATGACCATAGGTAATTTTATAACCCTCCCTTCCGTACCAGTAGACTGGTTTCAGAGGAGCAAACGTTCAAACTGTGGAATGAGAACCCTTCCACCATCTCTCGAATTAATTTTTAAAATATTATCTAAAAACTATTATAGTTTTTTATATATATAAAAATAGCCAACTATTCAAACTACTTACATTCAAATAACATCTCGATGTGAAAATTAATACTAGTGCTAAAGAAAGTGGTAACTCGATATACCACAAAGTAGTTGTCACTTCGACAAACCTGACAAAACAAACAAAATAATTGTCGCCGGATAGAAATAAAAAAAAACATTCCAACTAAACGACGCCCACATGATTTTTTGCGAATGCAGAATTTTTTTGATTACTCATACTAGGCGTTTTATGGTCCGTATGACATGTTACTGGAACTGTAAAAAATAAATTACAGATAAACCTTAGATAAACATACTTAATTTATAGATTCAATACAGTATTTGATCATGATAAAGCATCAATTATAATTATTACATTGAATTCTATTCAAAAAATCTCGCGCAACACAATTTTTCTATAGAAAAAAAAAAACTACAAAAAAGTCAGCTGTCATGCGCATGAACGAAATAATGAACGAACGAATGAATGATAAGGATTTAGGTTAAAAGTCGGCTAGACTTAAGTGGGATTGGGCGGGTCAAATTAGCTGTATATCCGGTTCCGATATGTAGGCAAAGCTGGACAGCGTCGCCGAGACCGGCCCAGAGTAACCTCACTTACGTTATGGATATACAATGGCGCGGCACCAGTGAGGGATGAAAGCAGACCAGTTAACCTATTGTCGCAAGTAGGCACCTAGAATTAACTAGCACAGATGTCGACCTGACACTGTGTGTCTGTTAGCGATGGGGCCTAGTCCCCGTTACTAAAAAGTATTTTCCGACAGAATATAGTTTTAATTAAGAATAATAGAAACTGGGGTACAGTAAATTTAAACATGTTTGTAATTCTAATCGATTCATATTTGGGTCATGCAATAATAATTAAGATTGTGTTTCACAAAAAAAAAAAAAACAATATACTACTGAACCTATTTTGATAAAATTTCTATGAGACAAATCTGAAATGAAGCACTTAAGTATTTCGTTTCAGATAAAAAAAGAAGTTTCCATGAATTTCACGATGAAAATGATTATCATCTGCTTTGTGCTTTGAAGGGCACGTAGAGTTGTTCGGTTACATCTGTGACCCTCGATTATAACACAGACTAAGCAGCTAGCAGTCATTCTCTTTCTACGGTTATTAACAACGATGAGCTAGAAACGTAACATCAGAGGGCATCATCCGCATACGGGTAATTTTGCAATTATTACATAAAATCTTACATAGGTATATGATCATTATAGACATCTCTATGTAGTTTGTGGTTATAGCTATCATCAGCTGCTTTTAAACAGAGCTAACTAAGAACTCTAAGACTCATCGGGAATATGTGGAATACTAAACCTGACTGTACCATCTCAGCCGATAACCGTCCACTGTTTAACATAGGTTTCCCCCATAAGGAGGGTTTTTACCAGTAGTTAGCAGGCTTGATAACCGCAGTTAGGAGTTTAGTTAGTTGCCTCTTACGACACCTACAGGAAAGAAAAGGGTGACCCATTCTATTCCGGAACCACACGGCAATGTTATCTATATTAATATTACAAAGAGATAAATTTTGTGAGTTTAGGGTAATTTCCAATGTTACTGATCCGAGTTTGAAAATTCCTTCACCGTTAGAATGATAGTTCTAGAGCACTCATATCCCTGAGTGCTATAGACTACTTTTTATTTGGTAAATATATATAATCACAATAAATGTAATTGAAGTCGACAAAAATTCTATATGGCGTGCGCTGCCTGATCGGCTTGTAAATAAAAAAATAAAAGGTATAGCAAAAATATTCATTACTTTTAGCTTTACAAAGTCTGTGACATAATATATCTAAGTTAAACAGCTCAGCCAAAAAGACAGTTTTTGTGTTAAAAGTAAAATCAATTTTACAAGCCGTTAATTTTAAAATTTTAGAAAATATAAGATATCAGCCTTACTAGAATGTATTCAACAGTTTAAGTTACGCAAACAAATATTGCGCACCTATGCGGAGCTGAGGCAGGTCGCTAGTTAGTTATATATTAAATCAGACCAGTAATTATATGTTGATTAAACAATAGCAGTTGTATCAGCCATTAACTGTCCCCTGCTGAATATAATTTCCCCCATGAGAAAGAAAGGAAACTCACGGGAAAGGAAGTGGTAGCTAATTCTATGCCGGGACCTGCAAGGCCTGTATAATTTTAATGTAATATTTCAAACGTAATAAAACAAACTAGTAGCCGGTGAAAATTTTATTGTTTTATAAGAATAATATAGCTATGTATTATGCCAGAGCACGCTAAAAAGTATTTTTTTTTTCAATTATTTACAACAAATCATAAAGTAAAACTTAAGCGAGGCATGTTTTGGTAAAAATTGTTTATAAATAATTAACATTAAACTTATAACTAAAGCAAAAGGTGCAGTTATTTATAAATATAACTTACTATGACCGTACAAAATATCTAATATTGCTATTTTAATATAAATGTCAGCGTACAGTACATGCAGTGATATATAACACTGATTCATCCATGAAGGTGACAATATAAAACATTAATTGTACATTATCTAGGAAACATATAATTGCTTATTTGTGGCTTATTATAATTGCTAAAATGTATTAATGCTTTTAATTTCACTAACTTTTTTACCTAATAAACAGTGATGAAAGCGGTCACACCGCGCACTACTTGAGATTTTAAGCCACATAGGTACATTGACTAATATCGGTTCTAACTTTATGCAACCTGGTGAGAAATATGTTAATACATATTAGAGGTCTATGTATTAGGTAATGGCTTAAATCATAATTAAACATTTTTTGACACAAATACCACGATTGCATACCAACATAATTATTTTACCAACAAGGCATTAATGCTACACACACATTTAAACAATGTCTTAGGCTAAATGAATTGCATTCATGTTTCTTATCACTATTTTTAACCCTTTTCTCTTTATTTTGATTAAATCTTGTATGATACAGTCAGATAAAGGTAGTATACATTATATTAAAATAATACTATTCTACCATATTTTTGGTAGTTTCCTAGCTTCAATGTATCTACGCCTACTTAGTTCTACACATGGGGACGATTTTGTATGTAATCTTTAATTCTAACGCCACTATAACCGGATGCCAAGATATTTTTGAAAACATTATCAGATACTTTCAGTTTACGAATTAGTTCATGGATCGCAAAAGGCCACTTCCATTATTCCATTCTCCGCTCGTGAATCTGCTCTGAACGTGCTCTGTTTTCCTTTGAAGAATTGCATTGATGATTGGTTATATAAACTCGCAATACGTTTCATTTTTTTTTCAGACGGTTCGCATCGACTGCCAATATAAAAAATGTTGGAAACATTAAAAGGTCCGTGACAGAAAATCCGCTAATGTAGCGCTAGGCTTAAAGGGATTTTAAATATACAGGCGCGCTTCACGTCTTCTATACGCTGTGTTTTAAACGTTATATGAAAATATATGCAACGATTTGCCTACATCTAACGTTGCCGTATACATAAAATATCTAAAACGCAGCGCAGAGCTCTGAGCGTCTTTTTAGACTAGTCCCTAATCCTACTTTCCAAGTCCACTAAATTTACAGACCATTTTATGGAACGCCAATTATAAAAATATGTCATCATTTTTTTAAATGTCATTCTTCAATTATATCTTTTGAACTACATATAACAGGCATTCAGAGTGTACGCAAGTAATGTTATGTTTCCAACGAAAATGTTTGTAAAAAATGCCGTTTCTGTGGTAGAAGAGTGAATATTATATATACAACGGAAACATAAGCCATCGGTCGAATCCTGAACGCTTGTACTCGTATATAGGTTTTAACATAACAATTTAAAGAATTACATTTACTAATCGGATATTTTCCATTTCTAATTGGCCTTTCGAATGTTAACAGCCACGATAGTCATTTCTACACAATCTTGGATAGTATTGGAACTGGAAATCAGGAAACTCTAATAACGTTAACGTCTGCTTATGATTAGATTTGTGGCATTAACATTTCATAGTCGTATTCGTATGAGTAATTTGGGTCATATTACACTATCAAATACACAGAATTATAGGCAGAGTTAAAAAAAAACAAAGGGTGGAAGTGATCTAAATGAATTATAAGTATTACTAAATTCGTTTAGAAGTTTAGTAATTCAAGATATAAAAAACATTTTACTCATGTTGAAAATATGTTGAAAGTAAGTTGAAAGTCAGGAGGAGGTTTAGCTTTATATATAGTTTATAAATAATTTATTCTAGATCGTGTAATGTACCTTTAATAAAAATGGCATTACACATATACAGCTACATGTTTGAAAATGATTATTTTGATTTCTATTAGATAAAAGCGAATATGTATGACCTATCTTAATATATTATAATCCCGTGTCACGATGTCCGTTCGCGCTAATCTTTAAAACCGTTATTTTAATGAAATTTTATAGGTATGTATTGTTCGCTAAATCTTGAAACATGGTTTTTATCACGATAAATGGTGCTGTTGTTAAAATTATGCACTCGTACGAAATCTGGATGGATCTCTAATGTTAAAATATTTAATCGTTAATACATACTGAATATCGCCTCATTTGCAGAGCAGGTTCGTATTTTGAATTGACATAGTATGCTTCATTCGACACGGTCAAAATTGTACTTTATTCTTTGATAAAAAGGTTTAAAGTTGAATCATTGAAATTAAAGTTTTAGAGATTTTTATTTTCAATACACCTACGATGACCAAATTTGGGGTTTCTTTTTATTAATTTGCGAGACGTTATTTATTTAGGATCAATTAACAATCGGCGTTTTAATATTTAAAAACTCTTAATGTGACACAAGTATTTTGGACTGTAAAAAAAAACACAGTTTTAAATACTTACAAGCGGTTAAGTTTTAGATGTGACACCTACTTATACCTTTTAGGTTGAAAATTATCGTTATACTTTTTTATTTATCTTCGATTTATATAAAAATAATTGAAATTGACTACTTACTACCATTAAATGTCAGAACAATATGGATTATTAAGCCTATAAGTACCTCGTTATTGCATAGTTATCCTAACAATAGTCTGAAAATCAAAATAAGGCGATGACAGGTCTCTGTAGTCCGTGCATTGTTGTATGGTACGGAGTCAATACTTTTTGCTGTAAAAGAACTGTATAGAATAAGATTTTTGTTTTGTTTTGTTTTTGAAACAAATGATTTGTTGAATTTGTTATTTTTTAGCTAATATTGTTTTTTCTATAGTGTTCGTGATCTATCATTCACAATAGATTTAGTCTGGAAACATACAAGTCTAAAAATAACACGTGGTACGCAAAACATTTACATTTCAGATTATCAAGGTTTCAAAATATGTATGTCTCATCCATCACTAAACGCTACAAGAAGTAATATCGTGTAAAGTATAGAACCATAGAAAAAGTATTAGGTACTAAAACTTAAAAAACCTAACTTTTTAAATCGTCATATGTTTTAAATTCAACAAAATATTTTTCACAAACAAAAGATTGTGAGATAGTATCAGTTATGATTTATCCAATTCGACCTCAAAAACCTTACCCTAAACTACAGTTATTTCATTGTGCTGTCAAAACATCAGCTGTCATTCGCACCATGTTAAAATGCACAGAGCCACAGAGTATAAATGATGTCCATATGTAATAACTTTCTTCCTTTTAGGGATAGCTAAAGAATTATAATAATTCATAAAAGACGTCACTCATCTGTCAATCAGTCAGCATAATAACATTTATAACAAAGTTTGTTTTCTTTTTCTGAAATGTTACAGGAATACGTTACATAATTGCATTGTTATAAAAAAATAATATTTACTAAAGTATGTGAGACACAATTATCTAGTATATTTTCTTCCAAATTTTATTTAATAAAATTAAGCAACGATAAAATAATTGCCTATTAGTAATAATACAATAAAATTAAAACATTTATACTTTCTTTCGTTATAGTTGGCCTTGTTATGAAAATGCCAAGAAAGAAAATGCAATTCTGACAATATCTTAAACTAATATAGTGCGTTTTATGAAGGAATTTCTTTGAACTAACAAGAAATGAAAATGCATTTAGTACTTTTTAGAATAAGGTTCAACTTTAAATAAAAACAAACTATTATTGATTCATAATTCACCAAAACACGTTATTATTTTTATGTTTTTAACTTGCCACTTAATTTTGTAAGTGGCTGGTTTAATCGAAATAATTCATAGTTGTTTTTATAAAAAATATTGTTAATTTGCCTGGGGCATTAAACATTTTTAACACTAATTCTTAATCTAAGGCCATATTGTAAAGAAATTCATTCCTTAAACGCAGTTTGATAAATAAGTTTGCTAGATATAAAAAAATATAGTATTATGACTTAATACCGAGACCAATAGGTAAATTGTGATGATTATAATTTATTGTAATTAATATAATTGAATAACACAAATGTGACATTAATTTTCTACAATATTAATTGCATAATACATTAAAGCCAGAAGTCCAGAGTATTCACACTATAGCTAAAACTACACTGCAACAGTGCACACTATTTTATTGCATTGCGTAATTATCCTATATCTCCACAAGGCCATAGCCAGGTACGCCCCTCTCTTGCTTCCATGCACTCCTAGGTAAGAATTGGCGCCCCTCGAATAAAAAGTTAAAACATTTTTTAGCAACATTAAAAGTCATAATTATTCATTCAACATTTTTTTAGGCATATTATCAGTTTTTCTGATAATATAATCCAGAATAAAATCCTGGCTATGGCCTTGCATATTTCAATATTAACCGCTAATAACACAATAACAGCCATAGAGTAGCAAATATAAATATATATTATTTCTTTTTCATTCCTGATAATGGCCATTGTAAGTACCTACATGTATAGTGGAATAGTCATGTAATAAAAATAAAATATGCTTAAATTATGAGAATGCAAAACTGTGATTATGGAGACTTCTTATTGATAAATATAAATACACAAAAAAAAGATGATTATATAACCAACTTTCGACTCTAGTGACCAGCACTTTAGAATTCCTATTAAAAATCAGCAAAGAATTACATCACTTTAAAATATAAACATAAATAATTATGTATACAAAACATACACGGTAATATATCTAGAAGAAAATAATAATAATAATTCTACATGATTTCATTGACCCTTTAGCCATCGGTGGCAAAATACGGCTTATTAAAATGTCATATTAATAATACCTATTGTAAATTAGAAAGTCGCTTACGACTTAAACGGATTTGATGAAACCTGGTACACAGATGGATCACATCGTAAATTAGCGTATCGCATTCATATTCTATTTAATTCACGCAGGCAAAGCGGACACAAGTTTGTAAAATATAAATGGTATCATGGTAATTATTACTAGATACGAAAATTAAGCCTTATTTAGCTTAAAAATTAAAAATTAAAAATTGTCACTAATCAGTTTTATGGCATATTAAAATCTATTTGTGTCGTATTATCACTTAATTATAATATAACAATATAGCTAATAAACATCACTTCACGCATAAATGAGATGACCAATTATTGGCACATCTATCTACTAATAGTTCTGCACACTACACGAAGTACCTTTTTTCTATCAGCGATGTTGCTAGACAAATCCAAGTGTAATGGATTGATACCTAGGATTGAAATAAGCTTTCGGTATTAAAATTAACATTATCCAAACTTTACTACGTATAATTGCACTAATCTATCTACATATGTCGTGTTTTGCAGCCAGATAAATTACTTTGCAAACTCATATCTGTCCTGTAATTTAAAAATGGAGTAACCTTTTACTTCGAAACATGGCTACCAAAGAGGTAACTAGTAAAAGGTTTTATTTAAATTTGGAACTAGCTTGCAAATAGAAAACTGTTTATTGAAAAAAAAAACAAAGGAACATTATGACGAGTGAAAAATTATTATTGTTCGTTATTCGTCATTGAACTTAAAAAGTAAAATTGTTTTTGATTTTCGCGCATTGTTTGAGAAAAGTACTATACAAGCCAGGCTCACGTATGTGTGCCTTGGATACGCCTCGGCCCACATTTGCACGTTCGTCCATCAATGCCTCAGTTGCTGGCCGCTGCAGTAATGTACTATAATTGTATTTAATTGGAATAAATTCAAAATTAGATTATTTTTTGTTTTTTTAATTAGGTTATGTTAGGTTAACTGACAATTTGGAAAATAAGGAATAGAGAAAAAAAAAGAACAATGCCCACTTACACTTTTTGACTAACACATCGCTAACAGAAATATACTTTGTGTAGGGAACAAAATGCATTCCATTCTGTTGATACCATACATACTTCCATCGCTCATACTATATTGTTTCACAATATACGAAACTATCTCTGATAACTTTGAAACAATGTAAACTATACTTCTTGTGGCGAATTACATACCAATATTTATGTTCAGGTGTCCATTAATATTATAGCGTTATAATGGGAATTAACTTACTTCTATAATATTGCTTAAACGACTAAAATACTATGTCATACATCTAAGAAATCTTGTTTTTTATGGTATTGCCAACATTACAATTAAGTTACCATATACAAATTCCCTGTAGAATGTCTTTTACCATGATTAAGAGAGCATTAATGTTGTGTTAATGAAATGATTTTATGAAATTTAATAAATACCTATACATATTTATGTAATTACTTAACGGTAATTAGATAGTGGATTTTACGTCTTAATACATGATATTTGTGCGCATGAGTCACGCCGTAAAGTACAAAATTATTCATATTAAAATGACAGATTCAGTTCTTTCGCCGTTAAAATAAAATAAGTAAATCAACATTAAAATTATATCAGGACAATAAAAAATTATAAGTATCATGATAATAAAATTTAATAAAAACAAACGAACAAAATTATCAAATATTGGATCAAAATAATTAAAACATTTATTTACATAAATTTTCTTAAAATCGTTGCAACTTTAGGATAATGGTAAAATTAGTTAAATCATCGCGTAATAAATAAAATTACTTCGCAGTCTATAGGAATAAAATAACGTTACAGTCCGACGTTAAAATACGTTATCAACAATAATTCACCATGGATACATTTGTTTAATATTACCTTATAACTACGCTCCAAGAGAAAGTGTGACTACCTCCCCGAGAATATGTTTATTGAGTTTGAAGTCGTCCGCTTGCGAACGAGGGTCGCCTCAACTGGAAAAAAATATATAAATTCATTAAAAAAAATATTATATTATATTTAATTTTTATATCTATAAACCTCCTTTTTGTGTTATGCATGTCTATAATTAATGCAAATACTATAATTATATTATTTACTATATTTTATACAGTATTAAGTCCGCCTTCTGTACCGACCATTTTTTTTTTTTGTAATGTAATCAATAAAGAATAAATAAATAAATATATTTCATTTTTAATATATGTTGTTAATTTATGTATTTGTATTGTTGGCATGCCTAAATAAATAATATAAACTTTGTTTTAGCATACTTTGTGAAATTAGACGTGAATTAAGCCATAAAAATATAAAAACAAATTTAGTGTAATCCGATCTATTGATTTACCTTATATTATACTATTTACATTATCCCTCATTTATAAACGATAAATGAAACTAATCAACTGTCAATAAAATACTTATGTTAATTTTTGTAAGAATTTACCATTTAGTAAACGATTAGAGTGGCATGGTATTGTTTAAAAGAGAGTTACCTAGGTACAATAGGTACCTAATATACAAAATGGTGTAAATGTAATAAGAAATCGCATAGAAAATTATAATCACCCAGGTTAACTATTTCGGCGTTGATGTACGTCTACGTAGAAACAATAAAGAATACAAACAAGCAACTAACGTCAGTAAGTACATAAACCTAAACCAACACGCACGTAATAGTATTATCGGATCGTTGAACTCCAAACCAAAATAACACCATCACTATGATATTGACGTCAAAAATTTTAATGGGTACAAAAAAATAACAGTCAAGTCGAAAATAATCATTAACACCACACAATATCCATTAAGTTCAGTGGATTCATATGCATGGGAATAATCCGGAAATATTTTTTACGATTTCCTTTGATTTTCTTATTTCCATTATACTCTATTTCAGAGAAATCTACCAACACATTAATAGGCAGTTAAGGTAAGTAATAAAGCGAAGCTTATTGGAAATTTAAATTTTTATGAATATAAGTCAATGTATTACTTATTAATATTATTTAAAAAATTCGTGCCTACTCAAATAATAAAAACAGAACACTGATATTAACTCTGTCCGTGTCTATTTCTACTTATACTGTATTACAAATACATAGCAAATAATTCTACGGAGTGAGGCCCTGGTGACCTGCAATACAGGTAGTCTTATACTTATCTCAGTTACCAGCCTCCACAATTGTATTTATAATTAGGTTAATATAAGTTTATCTCATTATATTTCACTGTGATGAATTGTGAAGAGAAAATAAACGTATTTTTATTATCAATCTAAATGTATTACACTGAATTTAAAAAAATATATTTCTTTAAAGTACTTGTGAATTATATCAATTTATTATGCCTATTTAGTATTTACTAGCTGTATCCCACGACACGTCTACGCAAATCAGTTCTTGAAGTATCCTACGTACTAAGTTAGAATATAACCTATTCGTACACCAAATTTAGTTCAAATCTGTGCAGTAGTTTTAACGTGAAACAGTAACATCCATCCATTATTACAAACTTTCAAATTTATAATATTTATAGGACTACGAAATAATTATAAGTAGAATCTACTAAAATTTAGTACGAAAGGCAAATATAATGTTCCAATGGAGTAGGTAAGTAAAGTAGGTTTATTTTATTACAAGTTTTTATGAATAGAAAGGGTTAGAATTCATCTGGAAGATTTTTATAGACTAGTCTATTATCTATTAAGTGCCGTAAGGTCAAAGTCGTTATGCCAATCTAGTTAACAATCGGTTATTTTTCCATTGGTCATTTATTACTTGTATCTATAATGGAATGCTACATTAAAGAAGATCGCAGCTTGCGACATTTACTAATAGATATTTGACACACTAACAAATTGTTATATTCTATTATTATTATAAAATCCTATTAGTATTACAAACGTCAAAGTTTGTAAGCATGGATGAATGGATGAATATTTGTTACTATTTCACACAAAAACTACTAAACGGATTGAATGAAATTTGGTATAGATGTAGATTATATCCTAACTTACCAAATAGGACTTTATATACTGATTCATATAAACAAAGCCGCTGAATACAACTAGTCAAAGTTAAAGTAAAAAGATAAAGGAGTGTTTGTCCATAGGCGACGGTTACCACTTTCCATCAGATGGGTCATTAGCTTGTTTGTTGTTTCTAGTTGCATAAAAAGAACTCCCCGATTTGTGATACGTTGTTATAATTCTATATCTTGCTATCTATATATATAACCCAACTATACATATATATTATATATTATACTTGGCATACCATCATCATATTCATTACAACCCGTCTTTCATGCAATGCTGAACTTAAGTCTCTCTCACAGTTGTATTATAATTACATGCATTAAAAAGATTTTCCTTCCAAACAGAAATACAGTCGTACAAGGACAGCTGCATGAAGACTGAAACACGAGTAGGATAGAGATATTCACGTAAACGATATTTGTTTCCCTCTGTTTCTGTCTTTATACAGATAGGCTTCAATATATATTTTTTAAGTAATTTCTATCAAATAAGCTGACGACCCACCTGATGGAAAGTGGAACCATTGCCTACAGACTTGCACATCAAAGAACATTACTGTGATACTCTTGATATACTTCACGTGTTATCATTTTTGAGGACAAATGTGTTATGCTTCCCTATCCTGTAATTTCTATGGGCTAACTGACCTGCCTTTTCATTTTCACCTATCATCTCTCACTGGTACCACGCCAACGTATACCGTTAGCGCAGGCAGGGTTACTACATTATCATTCATTAAAAACCCTGTAATTTCTTATTTTACTGCCATATCCCACCCTTTAAACTGAAACAACTGTATTACGGTAGAAACACAAATAGGATAGGGGTACCGAAGTACATGATTTTTATAACAAAGTAAATAATACTCACTTGTAGAGTCTTGAGGCGTGAGTGGTCGTTTGATGGTTTGTTGTAAGACTGCCAGCCAACCGGAGCGGTCATCGTGCGTGGTGGCTGCGAGGCAGAATATTCGATCTGGTGTCACTAATTGGAATGGAAAACGGGCCTCCTTGCAGCCATTTCCCGTATTCGATACTCTAATGTGATAGCCGTTCGATTCGTGTCCTGAAATATATATATTATTTATATAAATACAATTCGGTATATTACACATTGCCATCTAGTCTTAAACTAACTAGTATGAGTATTAGACAAGCGATATACATATTTAAAACTGCAAAACGGATTTGAATGGTATTTGGTACACGAAACCTAATTTAACACGTAAGATACTGTATATTAATCAATATCTATATATTTTAGTTACAATAGACAATATTGGTGCAATAACGAATATGTTAAAAGTTTATCTAAAAAATAATATTGGATAACAGACTTTAAACATATTTGAAAATAGATATTCGACCGATACGAGCGATATCGAAATAGATGACAACTTTTTGCGTCATTATTATCCAGACTAACTTAATATATAAATATCGGATCGGTATCCACCTCACCCATGCCTACTGTATATACTAATGCACGCGAGCAAACCTGCGGGAAAAAAGTAATATATACATACCGTAAAAAGTGGTAGTTAAAAATAGCTAAATGTATTTCAACAACTCACCTACAAATATTTCTCCTTTAGGGTACGCATCGAGGGGCTCATCGTGATACATCAGCTTCCTGTTGTCCAGCGTGAACCAGCGGCGACGGTGCGCGTCCGAAGGTCGGGGACCAGTCTTCCAAAGCCAACCCTCACGGGCAAAGTCTTTCGGAAGACGGAGCACCAGCTCCGATTGCGGCATAGATGGGAAAGCCACTTGTAGAAGATGCAATTGCGCGCATCGTATTGCTGTATACCTATTTAAAACAATTTATACAACCTCGTAAGATTATAAACCAATTAAATATCACGTGATGTATTATTGTACATAGAACCGACGAATAGCTACATGGGACAGATAAAAGAAACACTAAATGTCACGTCGTATAGGGAGGTCAACGATATGGCTTGGAATAGAGCTGGCTGGAAGAGAATGCATGAATTAGTTGCTGTTGTTAAAGAGGAAACTCTTAAATGAAAAGAAGATGTATTACATGGCGACTTTTAGTTCTATATGAAGTTGAGATTGTATAGGCGCCAGGTAACTGATATTCGTTGTTTACTATATTTACAGATTGTGATACCACCAAAAAAACCGACTTCAATTGTGATAAAGCCAATTGTTTTGATCTAAAAAAGTAACCTATTGAATCGAATTTATTAACATTTTTATAGGATCTTTTAGATAAAAGTTTTCCAAATCGATTTAGAACTAATGGGGTTATGAGGCAACAAATATAAAAGTACAACCGAATTGAGAACCTCCTTCTTTTGAAGTCTTCTCTATTCTTTTGAAGTCGGTTGATAAAACAAAAATATCTGTCCACGCCTGTTTCACCGTTTACTTCTAAACCACGCAACGATTTTTGATGTCAGTTTCGTTGTTATTACACATTTTATATTTATTAATTAAATTTTACTAAGTTATTAATTAAACTTTAGCATATTTCATCTATGCGAAGCCGGGGCGGATCGTTAGTATAGACGTATTTAAGGGGCCCAGGTGGATCGTGCTCACCCTATAATTCTATGGTACCCACCCCAAAACGCGAGCGTAGCTTTCAGCTATGCACAGACATGTCTGAGAATACATATGGGCGTTTTAGGGGCCAGCCCCCTTAGAAAATAATCCTAAATGAGTCATGAACTTAGTAAATACTAATAATGTATCCTAATTGACATAAATTATACAGCAATCAAAATGTGAAGTCCCTACTACTACGACAACTTTACTAACGATTTACTAATGACTACATATATTTATTAGATCGTTAATAAATTTGTTAAGGTATTTTAATAGCTCTATTATATAAGTCACGGACTGCTGAATGTTATGATTTTTAAAAAGGGATTTTATTTAGAAAATGTATAACTTGTACAGTTGCTTAGTGTGGAAAAGTAAATGATAAAATTATGATTATTTTTTTTTTTTTTTTAATTATCTTTTGCTTAATATAGAGTGGTACTCAGAATTGTTTCGCTATACAAAATAAACGAGGGTTTGCACGAGACAATTAGATATGGTTCAAGAAGTAATTCTCTACAATTATAACTCTCAAATGTATTATTTTTATTATTTTATAAATTGGAGCAAGAATATTAAAACTACTTCTATTTATAATTTTTCATCTAATAGGAATTTACAATCTTCCATCTTATATTAGTGAGATCGAACGTCAATATATTAATTAAGACATTGAAGAAAAAATATGCAAATCTAAATAGATGTTTACCAATTGTTTATAACCTCTGGCTCCTCGTGATATACGTAAATATGTCTTGTGGAGCCATCTTTCATGAATGTTAACTGCATGGAGTTCATATGGCCAATCTTCGCTGGAGCAAAGCATACATTAAGTTCTGATAATTTTAGCACACCCTTCGGTTCTCTGTTCTCCCTCACGTGATACCTGCAAAAAAATACAAGTGAGATTAAAGATTCATTGAACAACTTCTTATCCCATATATTAAACTCAAACGCTTATAAACAGGTACTTTTTAATTTCATTTACTTGCATTATTCTTTGTAAAATGTATTTTGAACACGAACCCTTTTCCCTTACAAATTCATTCGACACATGCATTCCACAATTTGAAGGTGATCAAATTTTAATAGTAATTAAATTACATAACATAGTACGACCTAGGACAGGACACACATTTACGTATTACGATTAACCTTCCCTTAGATAAATCATGCTCGACATTACGTCTATGTTCAATTGAGCAATATTTTTTTTTTATATATTTAAAAAATTCCAAAATTTATTAATTATTACAGTTGCATTGTACATGCATATAGTCGTTGATAAAAAACAACACTGGAAATAGAGTGCATTTCACCAAATTATGCACTAATTTCGAACCATCCAGTGAAGTTTATATGTAAACGTGATGGGGTATTTATACAAATTTTCTGAAAAATACAACATCTAATAAATAAATAACTTCACTTGTATTTTGTCCTGATATAAACTACTGATTTCTTTATTTAATTAAATTTATATTAATTAAACTAACTTTTACATAAAAGTGAATTTAAATTTAAAGACACAACATTTGTATGGAAATTTGAATCTAGTTATTTTTATATCTATATTTATCAATATGTAATGTAATCTATAAATAATGCTCAAATGAAATTTACAAACACAGTGCTACTTTGAAGTTACTCCGTCATTCAAACTTAAATACGATTTGACTCCACGGCTTTCTTGATCTAAAAACAATTTGTGAAATACAAATAACTCACATTTTATTCTTTTATGACGTCATTAGATGAAAAACAAATACGTCATTTCTTAACATAAGAAATTGTGTTTGTGTTAGTAACCACTTACGTTTGTGTGTCATCTTTTCTCAGGATTAGCTGGGTAGATCAATATACTCTTTGATACATAATTTGTATTTTTTTTTTGTTTGATACACATATTTAAAAAAAATTGTTTTTATAGAAGTTTTGGCCTCGCTATGATTTTGTTGTGTCACTATATAATATAGGTAGGGTGATATGTAACATACATAATATAAATTAATGCAAAAATAAAAAATAAATCATAGATAGGCTTTATTGCCTATTATTTTTATTGAATATTATTTTTTATGTTTTTTTTTTTATATTTCATTAATGAAAATCTGTTATTGCTAAAATATTATATTAAATTATAACTTATTTATATATTTTTAATTGCAATAAGTCTGATATTTTAAAATTTTAAAACTTCGTATTCGTCATTATTGATATAAAATTACAATGCCTATATAGGCATGTATTGTAATTAATTTAAAACTTTATTTATTTTATATTTCAAATGTAGTTATTTGTTATTATTATTATTATTAATTTTAAAATCACAATGTAAATATTGACTTGCCATTGTGTGACGAAATCTGTTACATTGGTTAATAAAGAAATGTGAATATTTAAAGGCCAAATAAAAAATAAATGTAGGAACAACACTATAATTTTGAGCAATTATAATGAAGTAAGGTAATGAAATCCTATATCAGTAACTCATCATAATTATAACGTTAAACATGTCATTACCGAGAATATGTATTTTAATTAACTCTTAAACGGCATTCTTGTGCACTACAAAAATAGTCATTAAAACTATTAAATGTATCAAATTTGAAGAATTGTTAATGGTACAATTCTTTATAACACCTTGCATTCACATAGCCGTGGCGACAAATACGAATTTAAGCATTTTAACTATAACAGAGCATATTTGTGCGATCATTTAGCAAAATCAAACGTTTCATTATTTACTTGAAATGTTTTCAGCTGTAATCTCTGAAGGAATAGTGAGAAATATTCTGTAAAGCTATAAAGTAGCAATTAATTTGCTCAAATTTGGCATAGAATTTAAAATCACCATTAAAGGTAAACTCTTACTTTAGTAACAATAAATAATAAAACATTTGAATTTGAATAAATGATCTAATTAATAAGTAATGATAGGTACATAGGTACTTAACAACATATAGAACCCACATTTTGTGTGTTTGTTATTGACAAATGATGATAACATGAAATGGGGTGAGATGATAGTATATCGTTGCATTATTAGTAATAAAAAATCCAATACCTTACACTTTTTACTGCTAAACGTAATCTGTATGTGCTAATAATTGATTATATTATCGACGCGTTCAAATAGAAAACCGTTATTTCCAAATTGTCGTTGCGTTCGTTCTTACCTCCATCGACCAATGTTTTTGATCCGGAGTCGATCGAATAATCGATCGAGACAACTCGCGGCACGGCCGCAGCCGTCGGAAGCATGATGGTACCTAAGAACCAGTCCGGATAATGTTTATGCTAAACTATAGTCAGTGCAGTTCAGTATTTACATATCATACGTCAATTTTATATGCGACAAGTTTTTATAAATCGGCAATCGTTAATCTATCTTCTATAATTAGATATCATTGAAATTATTTCACGCTGCGTATACAATTGAACCGTCCACACATTGAAGTAACGAAGTCTTACTCTACAAAATTAAAGGTTTCGCAACTGACGTAAAGTCCCATGATTTTGACAGCATTGATTCAAGAATTTAATATAATAAACGTCGTCATATCAATATGAACATAAGAATTTCACAATAAACCAGTAATATAGCGAGTTTGTTTGCAGTGAAAATAATGATCAACGCGCGAAAAGTTTAATGCTCACGGAAAACGTCGAGTGCAAAATTACGTAGAGTTGTTTGTTTAAAGGTCTTGACGTAGTGACGAGAGGCGTGGAACTTTTCGCTCAACGTACGTCACTGTCTTATACCATTGTTGTCCTATAGAAAGTGTATCTTACATCTTATCTATCAATGATTTACATTCCATGCTCAGTCTTGGCGCTTTTTATTTACATAAAATATCTACCTAACAAATAACTATACAAAATACGATTTTGTCTCGTCCATTGTTACTCTTAGATCTGTAATAACAAGATTCACGAACAGCGTCCAACAAACAAACGTCCTCACTAAAATAGCACCCAAATCTTTACCCAGATGCTCATGTGGGTGTTCTAAAACAGCAACCAAGAGCTGACGTGGGTGCTCTCTTGCTTGTCGCATTTTGTTTATTAGCATTACTATCGAAATAGGTGCTGTTTATCCTTGTTACATCCTGGTCAACTTAAAGGTCTTATCTGTTTTAATTTATAATTTAGGATTTATTTCTAAAAAAAACCGCTTTTTAAATCTTAATAAAATTAATATATAACCAACACGAGTAAACTCAATAGAAAAATGATTATCGGAATAAAAATAATTATTACAAAATTTGTAAAAAATATTTAGAGTTATGTAGTTACAAAAAAAAAAACAGATGTCGAAACCTCTTCCTTGAAGTCTATAAGGGTTTCGCAATCTTATTATTAGTGATCGATGTTAACTCATGTTTTTTTTTTTAATATTTTTCACTATTACTGTTCTTATAATACACAATATATATAGGTATAGAAACAACAACGAGGCGTATTAAGAACTCCTTTTTTAAAACGCTTAAAAGGGAACTGTGAATCTAGTTATTAGTGATTGATGTTACCTATGCTTTCTATTATTCATTCACTATGGATAGACAATCATAGAGGAACGTCTATAATAGGAGTACATCTAACAATTTTCAGCAGAAAATTACATACCAGTTTATAATAATATATAAAAACAAAAAACAAATACACGTTCAATATGCGTACTGTATTTCTTTTCAAGCCCTGTAATAAAATCGCTTAATAAAATAATAATAAGGGGGACTGTGAATCTAGTTATTGCTGATCGATGTTACTCATATTTTCCGTTATTCATTTACTATAACTGTCCCTCTATAATACAATATATCTAACAAATTTCGCTAGATAACTACATACGTATATCAAATTCTTAGAAATAGTTACAAACATTAATCAGCGCAAACAAACACGCAGCAGATTTTTTCTTTACGTAACTACGATATGTAGGATTTATCTTTTCTATTATCTTTCGCCATGCGACTGGTAAATATTGATTGTTGACTAAAATTAATTTTCCTTTGGTTGGTTTAAATGTTTTTCACGTGGGTTTTAAGAGATTGAATAGAATTAATCACAAACAATTTTGAGTACGCCCACGGAATGATATAACAAATTCTTTAATTAATTAATTGTTAATGCAAATAAACGAGAACCTTTTAATTTGTCGTCTTTATCTGTATGACCGTATGTCACATTAATACTTCGTAATCGACAGTAACGAAACTTTATGCAATTACCCCCAAAAGGTTTTAAAGAAACAACTTTGAATGCTAAAAGCCTAAATGTGGTCCCCTTTCTTCACATTAACATTTTAACATATACACGTACATTTTGAAGCTTCAAAAAGAAGGTTGAATTTTTCTATATTTCTTACCTTATATAACTCCATCAGTTGTAAATCAATTTGGAAAATTCTTTTTTACCTAAGAAAATATACTTACATATTGGACCCTTAGAAATTTTATCAAAATCGGTTCAGTAGTTTAGCTTTATCAAAATAACTGGTTTTGCTACAATAAAAGTCGGTTACATTGTGAGCATTCTACATTAAAGTTGACTGTACCAACAAATATTATAAATGTGAAAGTTTTTTTAATATTCGGATATATTTATAGATGTATGTCAAACAATCACGGTAAAATAACTAAATGAACTTGAAGTTTGACATACCACCTGTTTTAACATAAAGGAACTTTTATCCTCATCCACGTAGGTAGACTTAATAATTTATAAGTATACAGGAGGACGTATTCGTAATCAATAGTATCCTTTTGAAACTGAACATTTCCAACACACGAATATGGGTGGGTATACTATTTAGAATGGAAACAAGCTGACGTCCCACCTGATGGAAAGTGGTAACCGTCGCCTATACACATGAGCAGTACCATGGACTTAACAGAGTATACTGTTTCACCCATGATACCTCCTATGCGTTGCCAGTCCCGAGTACTCGGATGTTATTTCTCTGTATCCTGTAAATTTACGCCATATCCCACCCTTCAAATCGAAACACAGCCATGCAAACACAACTGATTTACGGTTGAAACACGAATGAGACAGAGGCACCCAACGAAAGAATCAAAATTATTTTTGTCGTTTTTAAATTTTCTATTCAATATAATTTATACTCTAATAATTCTATAGTATGTGTAGATTCTTAATTTTACTTATGGTTCATGATTTAATTCTATATACAAGTTGTGCCAGCGATTTCGTTCGTGGCATTTTACAATTTACTATAGTAGATTACTACTAAGTTTCTACAGTAGCTATAGTATACGGATAGTTAAGCGACTATGAGTTTTGATTAACAAGATAGTAATTCATCTTACGTATCCTGCGTAGCAGTGTAGGTCCCTGTATAGAAAAAACTACCCCTTCCTTTCCCGTGGTTGTCGTAAAAGGCGACTAAGGGAACTTATGTAACAGGGATGGGTAGCAACGTCCCTCTTAAACACCAAAAGTCTAACTGTGCCAAACTTGCCTACCAAACGTGGCAACTACTGACAAAACTCTCCCTTATGGGGGAGGCTATGTTCAGCAGTGGAAAGTAAACGGCTGATATAGTAATCTACCCTATATAAACGAAATCGATATGTAGTTCACGATAGTCGCATAACTATCGAATAGGTACTACAACTACTTTAGAAATTTTATAGTAATGTATTGTAGTAAATTGTTAGTACAAACTCACAGTAGCGGTGCTAATTAAATGACGTTTTCTATACCAAATGTAAATAAATCAAATATCAAGACGAATGATTAAGTAAGTCGTTAAAGCACCAAAAGGTAATAAACAAACTCACTTTCACATTTATAATATTATTAGTAAAGGTTAACTGAGCCCGGTTTTAAGCATCGATTTTCATTTCTCTGAAATAATATTATATTTCTATCTTTGCGCTGCTATATTTATTAATATTATCCTATATATAGATTTTTAAATAGAAATTATGTATATATTTTAATATATAATTGAATACAGTCTTTTTGAGACAAGTTTCGTATTAATGATAACGCTATTTTGTTAAAGATTTTTTTTATGTACGACAATATTTTTGAGAATAAATTAGCAACACAATAAAATATTAGTCAGGTTTCAATTTAGTGTGTATTATGCATTAAAATTTATGTTGTTTTGATTAGTCATTAATTATGTTATTTCCACATTTAAATATAGATATTTATATTCGATCGTCATCTTCGTCATTTCTTGCTATACAATACATATTCTAAAAACATTACGTGATTAAACAGATTTGAGAACAAAAGTAGCTAACTACACTATACAACTAAGTTTTATTTTTTAATCGAATTCTATGGCTAACTGTACAATTAAGAAAAAAAAATCTCTGAATATCTATTAGGTTTTTATGAGACATACTTTTTAGAACGAACATTACATACTTAATTATTATTCCATTTCTATTTTATACCATACCCGTGGACATAAAAATAGAATTCTGAATCCGTAATTCACGAGTGAAACACCGAACGTTAGTCCGCTAGTATTACGCATAATTTACTCATTAAATGGCGCAAACTTATTTTTTTTATCCAAATACTTGAGTTAAAGGAATCATTATAAAATCGCTATATCGATATATCCCACATACTAATTTTTGCAGTTCAAATTCGATAGCAAATTTTGTTTACAATAAAAAAAAAAATGAATTTACACGATATTGTAATTTTTTACGCTTTATATTAGTAACGTATCAAGATATGAACGACTGAGTTAAAAAAATACAAAATATAGTCACGGAACCCTATTTATAAATATCCGATAGGAGGCTCTTGACCAATTTTTTAATTATTACGTCATATAGCGTAGTTCTAATTAATGCGTGGACGCAGAAGCTTGATCTAATGCAAATACTTAAGGTATATCAAAATACCTTAGGTATATCCAATGAAATTAGGCAGCTTGGCATTACCTCAAAAAGAAATGAACCTAATGAAGCTATTATTAATACTAGATATGTTAATGAATGAAATTATGATGGTAATTATGATTTAATTGATAGATGACTGAAATGAACGTGGCTTACTTGAGTGAATCTTCGTTTTCATTAAGCACGAACTTCCTCAACTGGTACCGGCTGTCCTCTTTGCCACGTTTCATGAGGAAACCTTCCATAGAACCAGAGAGGTAGCTCTGGCGTTCAGGGTGGCAGAATTCTTCACGTTCATACTTAGCTCGTATCCATTGCTCGATTAGTACTCTGAAATCATTTGTTCATTATTTTTCAATGATATAATATTGATGAATCGAGATTTTATTTAAGGTCTATGATGCTGTTCGTGTTTATAAGTAAGCTGTTACTTTTTCCTACCATTTTTCATAAGGCGAGCCAACAACTTGATTGCCATTCCAAAAAAATTTTGGAACAAGACCCCTAGATAAGTTGCAAACGAATTTGATTGTGGACAATTTGTGTGTGGATTTTGTCAGCGTACGCATGCGAATGAACAAGACACCTGATATTGCTATCTTGTTCTATTTCATGTAATCAGTAGCGATACATAGATGTGTATGGATAGATTCACTTATCTAGGGGGGCTGGAGTGAAGATAGACAGGTGAGATGACCCACATATTTAATGAGAGCGCGGCCCAGTGATTTATTAAGCGACTTCAAAAAGAAGATTTTTAATCGCTGGTATATTCGTTTTTGTACAAGCGATTTTAAAAATCCTTTTTGTGGTTCCTATTCCACTTCCATCTTTTAAAGAACTGAGCCGTAGCATCGAACTGTCTCAGAAATAATAAATAGTAATCGGTAGTCTTTGATTATCCACCTTATCTAGGTTCCAATTTTAATTTAGAAAACATTTATTTATTTTTAATATCGAGATACTTCTACAAAGAAAAAAGAACAAGTAACTGTGACAAAGTCACAACAATCTGTAGTTCTTTTCTGATTAATTATTAAGTCTCTCATAAATATTTACATCATTTTATAAAGCATGATTGTGGGCGCTATATTTACTACTGTACATTGCCTTAGTTATTAGATATTTCCTGACACTGAACTGTCACAACAAATCCAACAATATGTCAATGAAATAAAGTTCCGCTGGTATAATCGATAAAGAATACCACAGAGATACATACTTAGATACATCTAAAAATACAACCATCTCACTTCGTGTTGATGTCATATTAGCTAACATCAAAACTTTGTGTTTTAATTCATATTTCCGAATCGAATTTATGATCATTGTGGTTGTGGCTTTAAACGACTATGCTACAGCCCTCTTTAGAACTAAGTAGATGTTTGAACAGAAAACAAGTTTAGTATAATGACTAATATTTAAGTAACTACATTGATAAGATGCAATAAACAGCATCTTATTGTGTTTATAATAAACTGCGTTTTAAAATCACATAGACTGACAGATAATGTTTAGTTCAGATTCCAATTTTATCCATTTACCAAACCTTAAACGGACTTTTACGAGCATTAAAAAAAAATTTCAATTCGGTCCACATGTTTCAAAGAATGTGCTTACTAACAAGCAGCATTTGTATGAACTGTTATACTCTAATACCATACTAACAACGTAGCCCTGAAGCTTTTAGGATTTCCACTCGAAGAAACCACGCCTAGCTAAATTATAAGATTTCACGACAATGGACGAGGAAATCCCAAAATCTATACGAGGTCTGTCCGGAAAGTTCGTATAAAAGTGTTCTGGAATGCGAGAAAGAGGAGTGGGGAGGCCAGGTAAGCGCAGGACCCCTTCCTTATGTCCCTAACAATGCTTCAGTTCTGGTCTGACCGCCGTGCGGTGCGAACTGGCTTGTCACGCCATCTGTGAAGTTACCTCTTAACGAAACCCCGTCGGCATGGAGCCCGCTTCCGTTGAAGAGCAGCGCGTCGTAATCAAGTTTCTCTCGAAACTCGGCAAGAATGGCCGTGAAATTTTTGCCGATCTCAGAACAGTTTATGGGGATGATGCTGTGAAGGAACCAACCGTCCACAAGTGGCTAAAAAGATTCAGAGAGGGCCGAGAAAGCGTTCAAGATGACCCACGTTCAGGACGTCCTTCCACTTCACATTCCGACGAAAACGTGGAAAGAATTCGAACTTGTGTTAATGGGGACCGTCGTTTAACGGTCAGACAGGTGGCTGAAGAGCTTAATTTGGGCAAAACCGTGGTCCACGAAATTCTAAGAAACGAACTTCAAATGAAAAAAATTTGCGCCAAGATCGTTCCCAAGCTTTTGTCCCCGGATCAAAAATCACGAAGAGTTGCTTGCTGTGAGGACTGGTTGGAAGCCGAAGAGAATGGTGACTTTTTGAACCGAGTCATCACTGGAGATGAGTCTTGGTTCTACGAATTTGATGTCGAATTAAAATCCCAAAGCAAAGAGTGGAAGACATCCGGGGAACCACGAACAAAAAAATCAAGAAAATCCCGCTCAAATGTCAAGACAATGTTGATTGTTTTTTTCGATGTTCGGGGGATTGTCCATCAAGAATTCGTCCCTCCAGGCCAGACAGTTGATGGAAAATTCTACGTCGATGTGCTCAGACGCCTCAAAGCTCGTGTGGCACGAGTTCGTCCAGAATTGGCGCGAGAGGGGCGTTGGATTCTTCACCACGACAATGCCCCTGCCCACACCTCTCTTGTTGTCCGTGAGTTTTTGAGTAAAAATTCCATTACGGTGACCGAACACCCCCCCTATTCGCCGGATTTGGCCCCGTGTGACTTCTTCTTGTTCCCAAAAACCAAATTGGTACTTCGGGGGCGGCATTTGGGGGACATAAATGAGATAAAAAAAGCTACGACGGGGCAGCTGAGAAACCTACAACCAGAGGACTTTCAAGGAGCCTTCTCACAGTGGAAACGGCGTTGGCACAAGTGCATTATGTCACAGGGGGAGTACTTTGAAGGGGATAAAATTGATTTACCTGAATAATTGTAAAATAAAATTTTTAAAAAACTTTTATACGTACTTTCCGGACAAACCTCGTAACGTACTAGATGGCTCATAATAATCCTAACGTAACACAGCATAAGAACTAACTGGAAGAGTTGAAAAAAATTGTAAAATTTTAATGAAATGCAAATGAAATTGGTATACCGTATATATATATATATATATATATATATATATATATATATATATATATATATATATATATATATATATATATAAATTATAGGCAATACCACGGAAAATTACGAGTTGGTAATAACATACAATGAGACCTATAGAAATCTTTTCTTGGAATTTAATGTTTTGTTTTTATTATATTTACTACGATAATATCCAACGATAATATAAAACATCATTATCTACCTAATCTATACAAAAATGACGGTCTATTTTTACGGTTACTTCTACAGTTTTGCTACATCCGGACTGTCTTGAACATTGTACTCAATCCTCCTTTTCTATCGAAATACATTATCGCGAAACAATTCTTTGAAATCATAGATATAAACGAACCCTAGAGTCGTATTCATCTACAAACGTCACACCCAAAATGTTTCGAATTAAAATACAAAAAAAGTGGTTCATGTTATATGAAGATGATTATTTATGTTCATCTCATATATGTTGATGATAATTTACAATAAATATATAACTCTATGGCTAAACATCATATTTTTTATAAAATAAGTAGAAATGACATCAGCACGTACAAATGTCACTAAATAGTTAAAAATTTTATGCCTGAATTCACATACATTTTTTATAGTGCTGTTTTTCACTTCCGATAGTGTGTCTTGGATTCTTCTTTTTATCAATCTTTGAAGCATATACATATTATATATGTATGCTATCTTAATATGTACACAACCAAAAATCATGTTTCATACATGTAGCAAAATTTACAACATACATAAAACTTTGTGTAAATGCTCGACATTTATGTGCAAATGTGGTGTAAGCTTAGAAATACTAAACATCCAGTTATCATGACCTAAACTAACAGTGTTTCGTTAACATTAATCTTTTTATACATCTATCTGTCAGCAGCCTTCCAAACTGGTTATAATCAGATTTGATGATAAAAAAGTACATACGAGGTTTGTCCGGAAAGTACGTATAAAAGTTTTTTAAAAATTTTATTTTACAATTATTCAGGTAAATCAATTTTATCCCCTTCAAAGTACTCCCCCTGTGACATAATGCACTTGTGCCAACGCCGTTTCCACTGTGAGAAGGCTCCTTGAAAGTCCTCTGGTTGTAGGTTTCTCAGCTGCCCCGTCGTAGCTTTTTTTATCTCATTTATGTCCCCCAAATGCCGCCCCCGAAGTACCAATTTGGTTTTTGGGAACAAGAAGAAGTCACACGGGGCCAAATCCGGCGAATAGGGGGGGTGTTCGGTCACCGTAATGGAATTTTTACTCAAAAACTCACGGACAACAAGAGAGGTGTGGGCAGGGGCATTGTCGTGGTGAAGAATCCAACGCCCCTCTCGCGCCAATTCTGGACGAACTCGTGCCACACGAGCTTTGAGGCGTCTGAGCACATCGACGTAGAATTTTCCATCAACTGTCTGGCCTGGAGGGACGAATTCTTGATGGACAATCCCCCGAACATCGAAAAAAACAATCAACATTGTCTTGACATTTGAGCGGGATTTTCTTGATTTTTTTGTTCGTGGTTCCCCGGATGTCTTCCACTCTTTGCTTTGGGATTTTAATTCGACATCAAATTCGTAGAACCAAGACTCATCTCCAGTGATGACTCGGTTCAAAAAGTCACCATTCTCTTCGGCTTCCAACCAGTCCTCACAGCAAGCAACTCTTCGTGATTTTTGATCCGGGGACAAAAGCTTGGGAACGATCTTGGCGCAAATTTTTTTCATTTGAAGTTCGTTTCTTAGAATTTTGTGGACCACGGTTTTGCCCAAATTAAGCTCTTCAGCCACCTGTCTGACCGTTAAACGACGGTCCCCATTAACACAAGTTCGAATTCTTTCCACGTTTTCGTCGGAATGTGAAGTGGAAGGACGTCCTGAACGTGGGTCATCTTGAACGCTTTCTCGGCCCTCTCTGAATCTTTTTAGCCACTTGTGGACGGTTGGTTCCTTCACAGCATCATCCCCATAAACTGTTCTGAGATCGGCAAAAATTTCACGGCCATTCTTGCCGAGTTTCGAGAGAAACTTGATTACGACGCGCTGCTCTTCAACGGAAGCGGGCTCCATGCCGACGGGGTTTCGTTAAGAGGTAACTTCACAGATGGCGTGACAAGCCAGTTCGCACCGCACGGCGGTCAGACCAGAACTGAAGCATTGTTAGGGACATAAGGAAGGGGTCCTGCGCTTACCTGGCCTCCCCACTCCTCTTTCTCGCATTCCAGAACACTTTTATACGAACTTTCCGGACAGACCTCGTATACTACGATTATGGAGCCATTAATGTCCACTGCAATAGACGTAGCTGACGTGACATAGTGACACGTTGAAATCCTACATGCTAGATTGAATATTAAAGCTCAAAGCAGAGATATGTAGTAGAAGGGAAGGAAGTGTAGCCTATTATAAAAAAATACTATTATAGTTAAGGTAAACCTGCAGCAGGACGATAATAGAAAATTCTGTATTCCGATAATAGTTCAAAACACGTTTTCAACTGACTTTCAAAAGGAGGAGAGTCTCAATTCGACTATATTTCTTTTTGTATGTTATGCACTTACAATGCCAAACATGTACCAATTTTGACAACTCTTAATACAATCCATAGAGTTTGTTCCATAATAATTTGGTGACGATTGAAATTTTTTTTTTTTTCAAAGCAAAAAACTGCTTCTTGAGAAGCAAAATCTACTTGTAGAGCACATATATGATTGCACATTCTAAATAATTTTTTTTTAAATTTAATTTATTAATGAAACATTTTCGGTGTTATAATATAAATATTTTAAATATAAACTATTAATATCTATTAAATATTATTATTTATCTATCAATATGATTTATAACAATATGTGCCAAAATCTATTATATAATCTATTATAAGATTTATATCTATTATAATGAAACATCTATTATGTAAAATGTAATAAATTTTATATCTTTTTGTTTAGACATAAACAGATAGGTATTAGACACGATTTTGTAGTAAATCGTCTGAACATGTATTGAACAATTCTATCGCAAGTTTTACATTTGTGTGATAAAACGATGTGTTCGATGCATTTTATTCGTTTTAAAATAACAATGGAGGCTTTATCGCCAATATTAATTTGTTAGAAATACCTAGTCACTATTTTTTTCGGATCAAAACATACTTCTATCTTATAAATGTGTTTAACACAAATTTTATTGCATAGAAAAACACTAGACAAATATCACACGGCTAACACAAACTATCGAAAAATAACAAATCAGTAGATAAAATTTACGTGATACAGTACCCCTCGATTCGCGAGTATGACTCACATTTGATTTTTAATGTTTATCGTTCGATACTCTACAGGATACTAACTAGAGAGATAACGTATAGATCTGGGTCATGTTTTGATACATTCCTAATTAAAGTTAGCAGTTGTTAATAGACTTTTACTTTAGTTTTTATTGTTAAAAAATAGATTCTTTTTATAATCGATATTAGGTATCTATTAATCATTGCTATTTTTTATATACAACTAGCAATGGCGCGAAAATAAAGCAGTAAGTTAATGTTTAGTATATTATACATCGTAATTAATCCTAGTCACTTCTAATGTTATATTTGTGAAAGATTTTACGTCTGTCACACAATTACGCTTAAACGGCTGAACGAATTTTAATGAAATTTCCTGAACACATAGACCGTACCTTACATTCCAATTTAGAGGTGTTTTTCAATAGGAAATTAAGCTGACTGATACAACATACAGCCGAAACTTCATAATCAACAAACATGAAACTTTACACAGATTTTTACTACATTGCAGAGGGGTACTAAAAAGGCTTTCCAAATAATCTCAAAGGAACACACAAATTAGTTACGCGCGGACAAACCTACAAGAAATAGGTAGTTGGTTAACATGTTTGTTTGTTGTAATACGAGTACAATAAATAGCTCAAACACATAAGCGTAATAATTTATCTGTAATACCTACATATTTATGTATTTGCTAACAATTATTATTGTGTTATTTCCCTTTATGCACAAACAACGGGTACTTATCTACTCAATTGTTATTGAGTAATAATTACAATAATAACACAGTAGATTACCAGAGGGGACTGTACAAGTCATCTACTTGGGTACCTCTGTCCCACTCGTATTACTGCCCTAAAGTAGTCGTGTTTGCATGGCTGTATTTCGATTTGAAGGGTAGTACGGAGGCATATTACCATAATTCAGCCACTATGACAACACATGATGAGATATGGGATCAGAATGTACAGAAGCTGTTTATGTCTTTATGGTCGACAGTTACCATTTTCCATCAGATGGACCGTCAATTTAGTAGACTATTTGCTTTAAAAAAGGAAAACTATATTTTCTGTGGTATACGATGGTACGTCTCAATATCATTTGTCCGGGGTAAAGACGGAGTTACTTTTCCATTTTACTTTCATAAAAAAAACAGTTGTGAACGAACTACACGACGTTTTTCTAAAGCAAATTTTGATGATTAAATTATTTGCTGATTACTTTATTACTCTAAAAATATATGAGATTAGTGACTAGAGAAAAAAAAAAAGATAAATAAAAATACTTAAGATAAAACTATACTTTCGTCGCAAAGCTGTAAACTATAACATTTATCAACAAGAAGCCACACCAAAAGTAGTCTGCCATAAGCGATATCAATATTTTGAGGAATAGATTATAATCCTGCAATTTGTTATTGGTATATTATTATCGGAATTGTAAAAGGCGTCGAATTATTTTTCATGACTTCAATATGCTATTATTATCATTTTACTGCTATAATTTTATGCCATTAACCTTCCAACGATTTCGGTATTAACGTAAAAATCGAAAAAGAAATTATTAATAAATAATAAAAGCAAAACAAGATTGATTACATTAAGGCCTATATATATTTACTGTAAAAGTGATATTTAAGAATGGCCTTAATAATTTTTTCAATGTAAATTGAGAGACAGGCGTAACAGATATTAAATTTAAAATAAAACATTAACAAAATTAATCCATTTAAAATAATAAAGATATTTCATTTTGGGCACCCTCATCATCACGTACAGTATCAGTACAGTAACTCAAAATGTTGAGATAAATATAGAAATTATCGGAAAAATAAAACAAAATTGTTTTGCTAAGTAGTTTACTGGCACAAAATTATCTTTGATTACTTTTTAAGAGTATAATTTTATATTGCTCGTCATGGTAATATAAAAATAAGAATGAAAAAAAACACGTAAAAAGATTATTTTTTTTAGATATAAATAATTATTAGAGCATTTAATTTCAATAAATTGCATTAGGTTGGAATATATAATTTTTAAACTTAACACAATCAAGATATCACACGTCTCTGACAGTTATTTAGAGATCTTCACGCGTCATTTCTACAATCATTGTCCATCAAAATGACATTGATGTCTCAACATGTTTGACTATGTTGCAAATGTTGAATTCGAATTAATTTTGTGCCAGACAACAAAGCAGAACAGATGTGACAAATTTGAATTGGTCGGGATCAACTTTTTTATACAGTAGTGTACACTGACAGGGCCCAGTTTCTATACATCTCTAAAATATCTTTAAGATGGTTGGTCACTAAACAAAATTGGACACGAAAAACTAGATAGCGCTAGAATCGAAACTTGTGGTTTTTGTTATTTGGTAATTAAAATTAATTTGAGGAAAAAATCTAAATTTTTGAGTGATTTTATTTATTTTTTGCTGATATAGTAATAATTTATCATAATTTTTGTCTTTATTTTCTTGTACTATATAACTTTGTAAAAAAAAAAACACACACTAGCAAGAAACAATGCGATTATATATTAATATTATTATTTATTTTCCTTCAGAAAAACATCGCGTATTATCTGTCACTTAATAAATATTACATTTAGAAATTTTAAATCAAATTATCTTTAATTACAAAATCCTAAGAAAAAACCGCAAGTCTCGCTTGCAGCGCCATTTAGTGTTTTTTGAATTTTTTAATGAGCTTAACATTACAATATACTAGCAACTCGATACGGCTTCGAACGGTTTTTTTATAAATAAAATATAACCCATTTTACTATCCGAAAATGTGGCTTCCAGTAGGTGAAAGAATTTTAAAAATCGGTTCAATCTTTTAATAAATATCCGTTACAAACAAAAAATCCCTTTACTTTATGATATGTGCCTGTATAAAAAATATCTGTAAGTTATATTTCATACTCACTGCGGGTCATACTTGTTCGGCTTTCTGTAGCATGGAGGTACTCTTTCCTCGTATTTATTCTTTGCCACGATATTGCCAACTTCCTTCATCCTCTGTACTTGAGAATCTTCCCATCTGTCTAGGTTTAGGTGTTTTACTTTACTGATGTGAGCGCCCATACCTCTGTGGATACTTGCGCATCGCATACATATAAATATGCCGAGATTATATGACGCCCAATCCGGGTCTGAAAAAAACGTAAACGATTAATTTACTGACAGATGTTGGTGATAAATATAAGTTTGTAGGAATATTTGAATATACTCAATCATGATTAAACAACTAAAGGATTTCAATGGCGTATGTTAATATACCTCCTATAGGGGTCCTATGGCAATGCCGGGATCATTTTATATAGTATAATCATAGAGACAATATAATGATAACATTAGCCAGTATTTGAAATAGCTCTATCAAAATAAATTTAAAACATATTAGACTTCAATGATCCTAAAACTTAAAATTTCCGCGTTTGTTTTTACAACTTAATTTGTATTGGGTTCTCGACTGATTTTGATTTTTTTTATCTATAGAAATTACCCCGCGATGGTTTCATACTAACTTACACAATATTGAAATAGTTTTCCAGTATACGATCTCACAAAAAAAAAACACGTTAAATGAGAGAATTGACATTTCTTACATTTTTTACTAATTGAATGAAATTTGGCAGGGAGATAAGCCTATACACAACCGACATCTAGGGGCAGCACTTAGAGCCCCCAGAGAACCCAGACTCGGGCCAATTTAGAAAATTTCATTTTTTAAATTCGAAAATGAAGAATGAAAAAGAATCTAATCCTAAATTAAATTTAAGCAACATTTAAACATAAACGCTAATATTGCATAGTTTATTATATTATTAGAATAACATAGGCTCCCGCCACTTTCCTGTAGTGAATCACAGTTGCTGATCACTGTAGACGGTGATGCAGTTTGCCATACTATCCTAAATATAAATAGGTATTAAGTAATACTTGTTAAGAATAAACCAATTATTATTTATACAAAATTTATCATACACTTAAATGATCTAAAAGATAAACCAAGTAATGACTACTACATTAACATACATGGGATACCGAACTAGCAAATCTGAAAGAGCCGGAAGCCCAATAAATTTATCACGTTCATTCGTTATCATAGTTATTTTACTCGAAGAATAGAGTATACATTCCTCAGATATCCCTGTTCCATGAAACTTCACATTGTACTAATACAATGAAGTAGTTTAAGGGTAATAAAAATATCAACACTTAAAGTATTTAAAGTATGTTTAGGAATAAACACAGCCATTTCTGGAATGAATATTTGAATGAACGCCTTATAGGCTCATTAAAGTTTTAATACGATTAGGGTAATTAAGATTATTTTCTAGGGAGTATATTATCTAGTTCTTTAAAAAAGGCGTATATGTATTCTTAGACATGTTTTTGCGAAGTTTCGCTTGCATTTGAGGACGCGTACCAAACAATTTTAGTGTGGACCGGCCCCTCCTTAAATACGGTTGTACTTACAATAAACTTGAAGGTTCTATATCCTCTACCAATTACACAAAAACAATTAATTTATTGTCGTTAATTATTAAAGGTTTGAACGAGATACGTTTTTATGAAATTTTCGTCATACACAACGACATGAGTACAAAAATCTTACATGGCAGTATAAAAACCAGTACGTAGCGATATGAAAGTACCAAAAATCCCCGGCTTAAATTTCTAAACTTTTGGAAACTTTTTATGAATTTATAGCGGTCATATTTTTATATAGTCATCATATAGCATAGAGTAGTCCCATAATTAAAACGAATTGATTTATACTCGTGTCAAGCGTATAACGAGTATTATTTGTTTTTATATATTTGGTACAATTAATAATAATTTTAGCATTTCTTTTTATCTGAAAAACAGCGCATAAAAGAAACAAATAGTTAATTTATGAGTTTCTTATTAAGTTATTGATTTGTTGCATTACTAGTGATTTGTTATATATAAACCCTTTGTAAAAAAATATCAAAAGCGAAAACTATATCAAAAACTTTTGCATAGTTTAAAAGAAGTTGAAAAACAAACTGAAACAGAAAGGACCACTGTCCTCGTCTGTTTGTTTATAATTGTATATATATTTTTTTAATATTGTTTATAATTAAATTTATGCATGTTTCTTTTTTAAATGACAAATTCGAAAGGCATGCTAAGATTATTTACTAATTATGTCAAGTATAGAAAAACAGTTTATACGTATATACCCTAAAAATAATTACTCTCCTTTTACGACAGTAAAATAAATATATCTACATACTACATAACCCTGCATAGTACTTAATCCGTCAAGCACTTGTCAGATTTATTTGCTTTATTGTAATAAAACTTAATATCAAACAAGTATTATGTAAAGGTTATTTACATTTATATCTATCATATAATATGAATGTATCTAGAATTAGGTTTATTTATATTATGTATTTGTGAACGGATTACGATACAGTCTTGTACTAAATATGAGCTCCGCGATGGTCGACTTAAAATAGAAACAGTGTTCCCGCAATGTTTTTAATATTTTTACTCGCTACATTCCCATAGATAAGATAAAACGAACGAAAACAATATTTAAAAATAAATTTTACTTTGAAGTGTCACTCTCGTCAAAGATATCGACTGTTGTTAAGTGGAATGACCGGTGAATATTTAATGACATATTTGGTAAAATATAAAATGTCAAAACATTATCACAACAGTAACTTTAAAATTCATATCTGTTCTGTAACCTGTTTACTTTAGCTTCTAATGTACAATCATCAATTAATTAACGCCACTTATAATAAATGTTCAATCAAAATAATATGATTGATATAAAACACATTCGTTGCAAATTAATTAAGTATTAATGATGTGATAAACTATTGAGGGCGAACGTAGTACTTAAGAAGTTAATCCAGTCATATAATACTTCCAGATGAAAGATCGAATGTTAAAACGTCCCAGAAACAAAACATAACGCGCTATTATACGATGTTCCGAGTAATAATAAAGTATAATTTTGGGGTCCCTATTCAGGCATACATTGAGAAATCGTATAACTTAATGTGCTGCCTACGATACAAATTAATTCACATAGAAAGATAGCAAGATTCTATCCGGAAGTAAACCCATAAGAGAGAAGTCCGTATATAGTTCCTTAATCAGACTCGAGCCCAAATGTTCTCAATTGTCTGAATTTTCTCAGCCGGACTTCGGCCTTTTAGTAGTGTTTCTTAAAAACGTATTTCATAGTTTTATAAGAGTATCTATGGGGTGCATAATGCTAGGAACCTAGAACGCTTACTAATGAGAGTATTATGCCATATATATAGACTTTGGGCAACTAAGTAATGCATCAGCAGTTCTATAGTCATTGCTAATTGTTCTGTTAAATCGTAAGCTTCAGGAAGTTACTGCAGCGTGATAAAAAAAGCTACTGCCTAGGTTTGATATAACAACTGATTCTATACTCGATTAATGTGAGCATGCAACGTGATATTTACTGCTTGGTATAGTACGTCTTAATTTTGTACCAAAGAGTACAAGTCTCGGGAAATGTAATGGCGATTATTATAAACCCCAAATAGATTTTTTTGTTGATTTTTTGGATATGAAAACATTACTTTAGAACTGGAGCACATTGGATACCAGTTAATCCTACGTCTAATATAAACCCGAAAGTTTGTGAGATATGTATGAATAGATGTGTTACTTACGGCTGAACAAATTTGAATGATATTTGGTAGACGTGTAGGTTATATTCAAACATACAGACCTCTTTAATACTCTGATGCACTTGGGCGAAGCCTCGTGAAAAAGTTATGGAGTCAAACATATTGAATAATTTTATTTAAACGTGATATTTACTCATATTTTGCTTAATTACATATATTTTTGTTTCTTTTATACACAGTATTAAATAGCTGGTAGAATTGTGGGACATAACAGACGAAATATGATGCCGCAGTGCAAAAATTAAATAAAGTTATTTCGGGTACGACAACTTGTAGAAGATGACTAAAAATACTGGCATTATGCGCCTTGTCTCCGCCTTGCATTCAGCATTAAGCAATCGATATTGTATGTAGAATGGTAAAGGAAAACCCACACAGAAAGAAAGTAGAATATTTACTATTCTCCATAATTCTAATGTACTACGATGGTGCAGTGTGGTCCCAACGTAGAATGGACCACTCCTTCCTTTCCTGTACATATCGTAAGAAGCGACTAAGGGATCTTAATGTATGGGCAGCAGAGTCCCTATTAAAACATCACTAAGACCTAACTGTATCTGCTAAGTCTGGTAACTACTAGCAAAACCTGCCAATAGAGGGAGACTTACGTTCAGCAATGGACAATTAACGGCTGATATGGTATGGTATACTATTAGTAGGGTAAACTTAAAGACGTTTCATTATACGGCTAATTAATGTGCTATAAAAGAATTTCTTGTATAATTTACCAACTACATTTATTTAACGTTAAACTGTTAGCCCTTACCGAACCTTACATTATCAACCGAAAAAATATGTGAGCATCGGCAAAATTTTCAGAAACATTTACGTTAACAAATGTTTTTAACATGAATTGGTAACAAGTATTGGAAAGCCAAATATATCACAGTACAGCATAATGAACCTTGTTTGTGCATCCCAAAATTGAATAATGGTCTGTCATTAGACGAAAAAAAAGATATTCATTGTCTGTTTTCAGCGTCAGACTACCTGAGAGATGGGTCGGTGTGATTATATTTTTTTGGGCGCAACAACAAATATTTTACTGGCATTGAATATTCGACAACAGTGGACACATCTGATCGATTTCAGTCTAGACATTTTACGGGCCCACGTGTCGAGTGTCACACAATTTGAAATATTGTTGCAAAAAAAGTTAAAAATTTACTTCAATCGTGACAAAATTGTCAATTTGTAATTATTTCAATTTAAAACCCAAGCTACTGGACCGAATTTGATAAAAATTCTATGAACCCATCTAAAAGTATATACTTTCAGATAATAGAAAATCCAAATCGGTGTCTAAATGACGAAGTTTTGAGCTAACAAACATAAAAAAATACAACCGAATTGAGATTCTCCTTCTTTTTTGAAATCGGTTGAAAACGGCTGACAATGTAACGTTAAATAAATGTATTTGGTAAATCGTACAA